GGGACATTGGAGGAGACAACACCCAACGGAGCTAATAATCGCATTTCGTCAATCAAGCAACATCTGTCAGCCCGTACCACTTGTCGTGAGTTGTACAGTGATAATATTTTCTCAATATTGTCACGTGGTAGATATGCGTTGCACTTGGCTGTGTTAGAAGCTTTGTATATCTGTATGTTAGATCCTGAGCTTTGCGTACAGAAAGAAAATATGAGCCCCGGCCAGCGAAAACCAGCACTTGTGTACTTGATATCAATCATCAAAATGTGACGTCAAAGTTTGGGACGCGCAGTGAGCTGGCTTTTGAAGATTCTTTTTCGATCGAGTGGGTGTCTTTGTTGTCAAAGGAGTTTCAAATTTCTTCAAATGTCTCTGGTCAATTGATTTTAGCGCTAGGTGAGAGCTCGTCACACGGAGGTTTAGTTTAGACACAGCGATGGCGACAGGTGTCGCGACAAAGGCTTAGGTCCAGAGTTGTCAGCGTGAGACTCCCTGTACGAAGCGGCGCTGAAAGTTAGTTCGCGATCGGAAATATTTCTTTGGTGGCGATCTCGCTGAGTTTGTCCAGCAGTGGCGAGTCTCATATGCATAGCAATGAAGAGCCCTCATAAAAATCGACACTGGATACTGGTGGCGACGATAGTCAGTGCTGGAGTAATAGCGACTGCGAGGAGAAGCTGAATGTCGACCCGCTGAGCGATCCGTATTTCTACATCGACAACAATGATGTTGCAGACACTGATGGAGGGCTTCTCACGGCGCAAAACAGAGCGTAGTATTATCAGTACTCTACCTTGCCAGACGACGCCAAGCTGGCTGCTGCCTGTGCTGAGAAAGGGGATCCCTAAAATCTCAAACCGGCTGAACGCTTTGGGGCAACATCTTCACGTGCTACAAAACGCGAGTATTCGCTCATATCATTGAAATACAATTATGCTGAAATCATGGTCTGAGTGAAAGTGTGCAAGAGAGTGGATGTCTCTGGTATTGGTGAGTACATCTATCAGTATGGCAAGCTTTGGGACAACACTCAAACTGCCAGCACAGAGGTCCCTGAACACAATTTGGAAGGCCAGCCACCAATCATCGTTATGCACTCTGGTGTTGTAAAGAAGGTAGTGATGTATACGGAATATCGTCACACTTCTGAACTACTCATGCCTGCAGCACCAAGAGGGCAAGCCTGACTTGCATTCTGTTTACTTACATGTACCTGTTCCACATCACAATCAGAAACTGTAGGATCAACTTACTTGCATGGAGTCACTAGGCATGGATGCGGCGCCAACTGTACTGAATCTTGACCTGTGTGACTTCAAACTCTATTTTCCATGCTTTCGCTTATCAGATTGCCACCAAACTTGATAACTTGAATGATTAATAGTGTAGAAACAATTTCGAGGGAAAAAATAATTTTTGAAAAAATTACACATGTTCAGGTTTCTGCTGGCTGGGGCTATTATGTTGTCGCTACAATTATTTGGTGTTACTCCTCGTCGAGGTGTTAACAATGTAACTTAATTTGCTCACTATGTTGCTGTCACTGTTATTATTTTCCTTCGAGTTTTTGTGTCGTTCTGAACTTAATAATTTCCACCTTGTCACGAGTGTTGATATTTCATTATCTTTACACTATATAAGTTTTAGTCTTTCCATTTTGAGCCATCACCTGTACAATCCTTGATGAGAAGGGACCGAAAACGTTCGGATACTTTATGACTGGATGTGTGTTTGCGTGGATACTTGCGACCTAATGCTTACCTTCGCTCTTAAAGTGTTATTCGCCTCCGACCTCTTTAAAAAATATATATAAATTAAAACGAGAAATGAACAAAGGAGAAAGGAAGGAAAGACAACGTGATAACACATAACAGCAGTACATTACACCTAGAACATTAACGGCCAAGCTTGGCCGCACTAAACACGACACGTTACTTAAACAATTTCAACCCAATTATACTATCTTTCTGTACACACAAATTAGGCTTGTACAGACGCTGATAGATAGCTTCCAACACTTTTAACTGTAGTCCATAACCATGACGACCACGGCACAATACAGTGAACGAAGAGTCGGAATACGAATTGCAACAATCAGGACTAGCTAGCAGATGATTGTACACTGAAGACTTGCTACCACGAAACCTACGCACAACACTAACACTCTCACCGGCATTCTCACCATCACTCCCATCACTGCTCTCCGACTCACTGCTCCTTCCGCCGTCCGCTCCATCAGTACAGAGGAAGCGGAGGATGGAGCGGACGGCGGAAGGAGCAGTGAGTCGGAGAGCAGTGATGGGAGTGATGGTGAGAATGCCGGTGAGAGTGTTAGTGTTGTGCGTAGGTTTCGTGGTAGCAAGTCTTCAGTGTACAATCATCTGCTAGCTAGTCCTGATTGTTGCAATTCGTATTCCGACTCTTCGTTCACTGTATTGTGCCGTGGTCGTCATGGTTATGGACTACAGTTAAAAGTGTTGGAAGCTATCTATCAGCGTCTGTACAAGCCTAATTTGTGTGTACAGAAAGATAGTATAATTGGGTTGAAATTGTTTAAGTAACGTGTCGTGTTTAGTGCGGCCAAGCTTGGCCGTTAATGTTCTAGGTGTAATGTACTGCTGTTATGTGTTATAAATTAAAATTCAATAAATTTCAGTGTCTGCTCCAGAGGCAAGTTGGAGGGCACTTGGACCCGGTTGGAGGGCACTTGGACCCGTTTGGAAAAAGAACACCAGGTCGCCTGTCACCCAGCTGGGAATACTTTGAAGTACGCATACATTAATATTACACCAGAGAGTCCCAAACTATTTACAACTCCCTGATGTGCGTACAGTAGCCGCACTGGAGCGGACCCAGCTCCTGGTTGCAAGCGTTGTGCCAGGTACACATGTATCCGGTTGGTTTGAATCCTAGAGCAGACACTGATGTTTGAGCAAGGCCCCACTGCGTGCTGGCTGTGGACAGTACAGCAGAACAAGGCTGAAAACTCGCCTTGTATCTTGGTCACGGCCGAGTACAGTAAAACCTGGCGTAAGCGACCTCTGCTTTTAGCGACCACCTGCTCTCAACGGCCGTTTGCCCATGCGCGGGCAGTTCTGCACACACACACTGTGGGACCTGGTTCTAATGACCACCTGGCTTTAAACGACCGCTTTTTCTTGCACCGTGGGTTGGTCGCTTAAACCAGATTTTACTGTATCTAGACACTGCCCAAAAGTGCTGAGTCCATAATTTCACGGGTTTTTCCTTTTCCATTTCTGCCCAGCTAGCAGGTGGCAGTATGTGCGCATGGTGTTATATGGCATCACATGACAGCGTAGGGCCAAGGGATGGTGGTATCACATCGAAGGTGAAAAATAAGTTCTTGACCATCCCGTATGCTGATCCTGGTTAAACAGAGAGGTTCCAGACTGTCCAATCGAGTGTTTTTAAAAAACGTTTTACTCCGAGTTTCACCACGGAACGTTTTGTGATGAGACCGCTTAGTGCGTGCAACTCGGAGTAGAAGCACTTTTTTCACCCTCTTATTCTTGCTGATCCTGATATTCATACACCTTCAATCTCCAAACGGTCTCTGGGCTACACCAATCACTAAAAGAAAAAGAGATATTAAAATTATTTGAATTTTCGGGCAAGGCCCATCTTCAGGAATGTAGTCACTGCAGACAAAACAGAGATTATATAAGTGACAAATATGAACATTTTGGCCAAAAAGGTGTAAGGGGGGGGGGGGGGGGAAGATAGCATGAACAATATGTGGGGGGGGGGGGGGGGCTAGGTGTTGCGGTAAAATTTCACCTTAGTCAAAATATTAACACGGAATAGATGAAGAGATAGCATGCCAAAAATTCAGGAGCCAATGTCTACAACATGATAGCATGATTGCACAAACATTGACACCTACGCAGCACTTACAGCAACACCTGCATGATGATTGCACAACAGCCCCTACAACAACACCCATAGCATGGCAGCATAAACCCAAGAGAGAATGAATGAAATGAAGAACAAGACGAGCACCCGCAGCAGCAGCAGCAGCCACAACAACAAGCAACAACAATAACAACACCAACAACAACAACAACAACAACAACAACAACAACAACAACAACAACAACAACAACAACAACAACAACAACAACAACCACAACAACAACAACCACAGCAGCAGCAGCAACAACAACAACATCAACAATACTACAGAACATTGAACTAGGTATCAGTGATGAGTCTACACATCACCCAGCAAACGCCATCCATTGTCACTGTTCACCGCTGGCTTGCGCTTCCTGATATAAAAAATCCTGATATTAACAATAATAATACACACAGCTCGCATCTTCCCTGAACCTGTTAGACAGGAGCAGAGCCGACGCATCTGTCAACAGTGTAAAGCCAAGTTAGTCTATCTCCTGCAGCTTGGAGAGCGCTCTCCGCGGAGAGATCCGCTGCCTTCAGGTTGTGCCGAATCGTATCTATCCACCACAATGGTGGACGGCCACGGGTTCTTTTTATGTCGTTTGTGTTGATGGATAGCTCCAGACTTAGGCCTTGGCGGATAATGCTCGAAAAGGTGGCAGATTCTGCTCGAAAAGCAGTGAAATTGGCAGAACCATAATATAAACCTTATGGCGGGCAATTCCTCGAATTCTGCTCCATTTCTTTATCCACATACCAAACATGCATAAAACTACCCGAAAAAGTACCGAACTCTGCCTATTTTTCTGCCGGCATTATCCGCCAGGGCCTAGCTCCAGTGCTTGGAACGAGGCGGATTCTGGACCCTCTCGCACCACATGGCCAAACCACAGCAGCCTGCGTTGCCGGCATGTGGCATTCACTGGAGATTGTTTTGTTTTTGTGTATAAGTTGTTATTGGCGATGCGTTGCGGGTACCTTGCTGGTATTACGTCGTTGGTTAATTGGTGGCAAACTGTCCTCTATTCACACGGTGTTTTGTTCGATTTTACCTTTATCTTGCATTGTGTTTCACTGGCTAGCTAACACAGCTTTTTCTTCGAGTATCTACATTAAACCCAAGCTTCTCGCGTCGGGGAGCTACTACCCAGGAAAGTCTCCATTGCGTGTGGAGTGCTTCACGACGCATGCCAAGCCCACCCGGATGACCTGGTTCTACAACGGTTTTAAGGTGAAGTCTGCGTTCACCACCCAAAGTTTCATTACCTTTCCCTCGGGCGTTAGCTACACAGAGTTGGCGTTCTATACATGCCACGCTCGAAACTTCTTTGGCCATGGAACGGTCCGTGTGCAACAACACCACTTCCGTAAGCATTATGTCATGAAGGTTGTGTGGCCAGCTTTTTAAAGTTTCAGGATAGTCATTTTCATGTATGCACACGCACACACATTTGTGTACACACACACACACACACACACACACACACGCACACACACACACACGAACACACACAAACACACACACACACGTATGCACAAGATCACGCACATACCGTGTTTCCCGGAATGTAATGCACACCCTCTTTTTTGAGCAACTTTTTGGCAATTTTTAAGAAATATCCGAATTGTAATGCGCAGGTTAGATTTTTTAAATTGTCTGCAAACTCCAACGCAGCCACTTACACATGGGGTGTAATGTTAATTTTAACTTTGGTTTGAATCGCAGTGAAGAGACCGTTTTTGGAGTTGAGAAGTGCAGTTTAAACAGGTTCGATTTGAGAGCATTATCGATCTTAAAGACAGCACTATTGTGATCATTGTCAGACTGTACAATAATTATTGATGCACAACAGAACAACAGAACAACAAGGACAATCAAGGCTTGTTTGCTGCTACTTTAAATGTTTCATGCTCACGCAATCATCAGGCAACATTCGTTCGGGTAATAAGTATTGATGTGTACATTTGTATAATGCACGTGCTAGCGTGCTACCGATAGGGGTCTCGTATTTATCATGCATTAGCAGTTTGGCTAGCTATAGCTGTAGATAATTATGATGATGTAGCTTGCACAGGGTGAGAGGTAGAAAACTATTTGATGCATTGCAATCCTTTTCGAAATATGTGCATTCTCGTGTTCGGAGCGTAATCATAAGACAAACACACACACACACACACACACACACACACACACACACATACACACACACACACACACACACACACACACACACACACACACACACACACACACAATACAATACAATACAATAATGCCCATCCGGAGATGATGGCAGGTCCTGAAAAAACCGACAGTGTTTCAGTCACGCGGAACAGAACTTCGAGTGGCGAGTGAGGTCCTGGCGACACACACACACACACACACACACCTTGAACCTTGAACCTTGAACGCCCATTGCCGTAGCAATGATAGCGATGGCTTCCTCACGCTGAGGCTCTAAACTCAAAATCTGCAGTATGGCGCATGCCGCTTGAGGTCACCAGGACGACGGAACACTCTGTCACAGCGGTAGTTGGGGCACGGGATGTTTGGGGCTTCCTTCTCGACCCTCTGTCGACAACACTGAAACCAGGTGGATCTCTCCTGCGCTGTGTCATACCAGTCCGCTTCAGGTAAACCGATGACAGTAAAGTCCGAGGACACGACATCCCGCCAGCGCTTCTTGGGACCATGTTGCGGGCGTTTGCACGGCAGTTCGCCGAACAGCATCTGCTTGGGCAGCCGGGTCTCCTTCATCCGTGCAACATGACCAAGCCACCGCAAGCGGTGCTTCCTGATCACATCGGCCATGTCGACATCCACCCCTGCCAGCTCACTCAGCGATGCTGACGACAATCTCTCCTCCCATTGCTCACGACGAGAGATACCGAGAATTGTGCGAATACACTGATGGTGAAAGGTGTTGAGTCGGCGAATATGACCCGCTTTGATGGGCCATGTCTCCGCACCGTAGAGAAGAGCAGGAAGGACGATAGCGCGATACACCAGCCGCTTTGTGTGGACCGACAGATGTACGCACTGAAATATCGGAGACCTGAGCACGCCGAACAGCCACACACACACACACACACACATACACACACACGCACAACTCTACACACACACACACACACACACACACACATACACACGCACAACTCTACACACACACACACACACACACACACACACACAAACGCACACGCACAACTCTACACACACACACACACACATACACATGCACAACTCTACACACACACACACACACACACACACACACACACACACACACACACACACACACATACACACGCACAACTCTACACACACACACACATGCATACACATCACACACTCACACATGCACGGGCATGCACCCATTCACACACATACGCATGTGTGCGCACACACACACACATAAACATACACACACGCACACGCACACACACACACACACACACACACACACACACACTTGCACACGCACGTGCATGCATACACATACTTGCACTTGCTCACTGCCACAACTGATCACGTGGATCTCCCCGGGAGAGGGGAGGGAGATTCAAAAGGATTTTCAATTGGCTAGTAAACCGACAAACGTCCGATACCCCTGAATTTCCACACTCTGGATGAATTTGGAAATGATCCCACCTATAGACTCGCCACACATCAGTATGTGAGCGAGGACAGGGTGCAGGAAAAGGATTGACAGTATAATGGTATCCGTCCCGGGATCCAACTGCATTGTCCCTACCCACAGTGAACATAACACTTACTGTTGGTGTGGGTGGCTAAATCAGAGCGGCCACCCCCCCCCCCCCCCACACACACACGCACACACACACACACACACACACACACACACACACACACACACACATGCGTGCACACGCACACACACACACACACATGCGTGCACACGCACACACATTCCAACACACACACACACACACACACACACACACACATACGCACACATGCACACACACACACGCGCGCACACACACACACACACACACACACACACACAAAACACACACACACATGCACACACACACACACACACACATACACACACACACAGAGCACACAGTGCAGCAGGGAGCAGCTGAGTGCTGACCTCTGTGTGGATTTGGTTGGATGTTGAATGTGTGGGATTGTGTTTCAATTATTCCGTTCAGATTTCGCAGGCCAAGTGCAGAGACTATCCATATCTTCCAATTCTACGAACATCTATGTTTCTTTCACAGTAAGCCTCGCTACTGATCATTATTTAAAAGTAATGTGATAAAAGTAATCTGTTTTGCTTTCAGAGTAAGCCTTGCCAGTGTTAATGATTTAAGTATTGCGATAAAAAGAATCCGTTTTGCTTTCAGAGTAAGTCTAGCAGAGCTAGTACTTACATGTAGCAATTGTTTTTAAAAGTAAAGCGATAAGAAAGAATTCTCGCCGCCTATTTAGAAATAATTCTAATTCTAAAAAGAGGAGAATGAAGTCGAAGACACCACTGCAGCTGTAGATGATGACACAGCAACGACATAGCTCGATTGCGACGTACGTTTCGTCCCCTCTATGTGCCATGCGCTACTTGATGTACCAGCCTGCTATGCCGGATACCGCCAGCCATGCATCGACCAGGCGCCAGGCGCGAACTGATGGTGGTGGTGGTGAGAAGGAGAGCTCTGTGCCAGAACTTTGCAGCCTAGAGAGCGTGTGTGGGCAGGCGTGTGTTTACCGCCATATTGCCAGGTGTGTCTTTACCACCATATTTATCAACCATAAGTACAGCTGCAGTGGTGTCTTCGACTTCATTCTCCCGAGTCAAGCTCCGTATGAAGACATCCAAGAAGAAGATGGCCTGATGAGTCCAGCGGGGACGAAACGTACGTCGCAATCGAGCTATGTCGTTGCTGTGTCATCATCTATGTGCCATGCGCTACTTGATGTACCAGCCTGCTATGCCGGATACCGCCAGCCATGCATCGACCAGGCGCCAGGCGCGAACTGATGGTGGTGGTGGTGAGAAGGAGAGCTCTGTACCAGAACTGTGCAGCCTAGAGAGCGTGTGTGGGCAGGCGTGTGTTTACCGCCATATTGCCGGGTGTGTCTTTACCACCATATTTATCAATCTAAAAAGAGGACCAAAAGTTTACAAGTTATCCGTTTTGTCCAACACTAACGACCGGTTATAAGCAGAATACTGTTGAGTCAAAAATGTGCAACAATTATCTCAAATTGGCTGATGAGATCATGACATTCAACGACCTTTTTGAATTTTAATCCTTGGCTCACCATCCGAGTTTATTATAATTCTGTGACTCATTTTGGTTGGATGGGAGACTCATTCTCCTAATACCATCAACAACAACAAAAATACACTTGGCAACATTCAGGACGAGATACCAAAACGATTATACACAGAAGACTTACAAGGTCGAAACACACGTCCACACTCGCTCTCACACTCTGCCATACCCATGCTCTCCCCCTCACTCAACTCACGGCTAGAATCGCCTCCGTCAGTGCCGTTTCCGTCATCATCCGTCGTTTGTTCGTGACATCTCAATGAAACCTTCGTGTAATGACTCTTCAGCTGGTTTTGTTCTTTACAATTCTTAAACTGTTGTCACCTCGCCGCCTTTCGACATTTTGTACGTGTTTGCAGTATTCTGTGTGTTTGCAGTATTCTGTGTAACCCATCTATGCCTGACATGGGAAAGGTTGTGTTGTGTAACAATGCCCCCCCCCCCCCGGCAAATGGTAGATGATGTGTGACCTAGATCGGAATGAAAAATTGGTCTCGAATTGCACTCATTTTAATGATCACAATGACTTTCTGCATGCTGTATGCTGTGTACATTGTTCAATGATCAGTTCATGACCGTCTCCTTCAATGCACTGCCTCGACTTGTTCTGTGCTGCAGCGTCTTTACCAGGCGCTACCCACGGGCCCTGCGTTTACCTATTGGTATTACACATACCATGTTTCCTACTGGGGAGGCGTGTGTCGGTCGCAGTATGGCTGCTACTGTCAGACAGGCAACTGCAGTTCTTCAGGCAACATCACACTTCAAACTCCAAGTGAGTCCGGATTGGGCATGGTGGTAGTTGTTGCTGTTGCTGTTGCTGGTGCTGCTGCTGTTGCTGTTGCCGTTGCTGTTGCTGTTGCTGCTGCTGCTGCTTAAAGCTGCTTTTGTCGTTGTTGTTGTTGTTGTTGTTGTTGTTGTTGTTGTTGTTGTTGTTGTTGTTGTTGTTGTTGTTGTTGTTGTTGTTGTTGTTGTTGTTGTTGTTGTTGTTGTTGTTGTTGTTGTTGTTGTTGTTGTTGTTGTTGTTGTTGTTGTTGTTGTTGTTGTTGTTGTTGTTGTTGTTGTTGTTGTTGTTGTTGTTGTTGTTGTTGCGGTTTAAGAGTTTAGACTCTACATCTACATGCAACTATAGCTGAGTGTCACGGTTTCCCATTGTATCCCGCATACTAGAATACTTTGTCAAGGAGCAAAAAGCCTTTCCTACGGGACATCAGATATACCCTGCATCTTAACATGCTGATTGCCCCGGGTACTCTACGGAGAATGCCCCTGTTAGCTTTGAATAGATGGATTCTTGCTCACACAAATCACTGGCACTTTTAAATTGTCTTGGTGGACCTGTCCAAAGCAGTTCACTGCGTTCGCAATGCAACACTGGTACAGAAGCTTCGTAGCAAAGGGATTTCTCCTTGAACCATATAATTATTCTCTCTCCTCCCCGCTAAGGAGCACTGTGTCTCTTGTGGCGTTGTGTATTCTTTGTTCGTTTCGGTACCCAACTTGTGTTCTGCATGTGTGATTCACTTTGAAGATGACGAGGGACGATGTGTGTGTATATATCTGTCCCTGCGGGAATTTGCGAAAAAAACTCTCGAAAACTTGCGCAAGAAATTGCGGCAGAAAGTAACAAAAAAATGCGACGAAAAGTGCGGAATGATGCAGAACTTGCCAGAAACTCGCTGAATTATTTGCAGAAAATTGCGGTTTTAGGCCAAATCACGAAATTAAATTATTTGTTGCATCGTTTTATCTACTCGGGAGTCGTACTGTGCAAATAACCTACAGGATCATGGAAAGAACTGTGTTCAGGAGGTCGCACGTGTCACTGACATGCACTCTCGTTTTGTGTTACATGTAGCTGTGACTTTCATTAGGGTTCACACTTTTAAGTCACAGGCTTTGTCTTCACATTCTTTCGCGCCTGCTGATGGAGTTTTTGGCATGCAAGTGTTATAAGCTAGACGTTTTCACTGCAGTAGGGAGTTGGCTATAGTAGGCTGTAGTGCTTACGAGTTCGGTGAAAGGCTTCAAGCAATTGCGGCTTGGAGCCAGAGTTTTCTAACAGAGTTTTCTTGAAAGTCGCGTGCTGGTCCTTTGTGTGGTTTGGGTGTGTGCCGAGGCAGGAGCACGCCTCTTCAGAACAAACTGCGTGAAAAGTGCAAAAAATGTGAGATCTAGTGCAGAAAACAACAAAAATTGCGTGAAATCGCGGATTTTGGTGAAAATCGCGGGTTTGGACCAAAATCGCGAAATTTGTTGCATCCGTGGAATCGCGATTTCCTGGAGGGACAGATGTATGCAAGTATGAGAGAGAGAGAGTGAGTGTGTGCGTACGTGCGAGTGCGCGCACGCGTGTTTGTGTGTGTGTGTGTGCGTGTGTGTGTGTGTGTGTGTGTGTGTGCGTGTGTGAGTGCGTGCGCGTGCGCGTGTTATCATGTGTGTGAATTACTGAGTGTGTCGAATTAACCCTGCTTCCTTTGGTGCATTGCTTCTTCTGCTGGTCTGGTTTGGGTATGTAGGAAACAAGCCGGTGAATGGTGATGAGCGCGTTGTCTTTACAAACCTCTGGCCATCGGCAGTCTATTTCGTAGAAGTCTATGCTGCAAGCTCTCTAGGTGCTGGTCCGATAGTCAAAAAAGGAGTGGTGACAGATGCCGCACGTAAGTTGCCTGTGGGCTGTGACGGCATTACTGCAAAACATGTAATTCTAGTCATGAAGTTGATTGGTTCAACTAGGCTAAATCCATGTAGTTTTAGGTGCATTACAATTTCGGTGCCAAAGACCTGCCAGGTTTCAGGCGTAATGTAGAAATAGGTAACCAGCGTTCTCTTCACATGCAGTACATACCAGATGTCTGGAAGGCGGCCGTGGTTGTGCCTATTTAAAAGAACAAAGGCATTGAATTGTCCGCGTCGAATTACCGGCCGAATTCGCTCCTTTCCACCATTTCAAAGCTCTGTGAATGGGTGGCATTCGGCCACTTATACCAACATGTGAACCCGGTCCTTGACCCGTCACAGTCTGGATTTCGGTGAGGCAATTCAACCGCCTGGCAGTTGCTGAGGCTTGTGCAGAAGCTATAATTATGAATGCAAGGATCAAAAACAATTTAGTCTCCTATATGTTTTCTACCTGAGCAAAGCATTCGACACTGTCTGGACAAGGGGTCTCCTCCATAAGCTAGCAACGCTTGGCGTAACCGGGGTAAGTCTGCAGTGGCTCACCAGCTATCTCACTGAACGTCGACAGAGTGCCCGAATTGGACATGCCCTGTCCGCCCCTCTAACAGTCCACCATCCCAATTTTCAGATAGCTCATCCGGACAAATGTTGCCTTCAAATATATCAAAGGAGTTCTGAATAATCCGGGTATGTGGCAGCGCTGAAAAACATGTCTTCCCATGAAAATTTCGGAGAAGTCCATGTCAAGGAGTCAGGATTTCAGGAAGGTTATAAAAAACGGTCAACTGGGTACTCACTACTCGGAGTGAGGGTAACATGGATGCAGCTAACGAGGTTCGCCCCCTTGTCGGGCATTGGTTGTGAGACTTATCACCTCACCCTCGCCGTTAGGAGCTGCATCTGCCACCCTGGTATCTCAGGCATGGTGGTGGCCTGGCACATGCGAAACTTCCTATTAAAGCTGGTTGTGTTTCCCAATACAACTGTATAGCCGGTGGTAACGCGGACGTGCAAACTTTACTTTACTTTATAAAAAATCTGGGTGAATTTTTATGCTGCAGTGCACAGAGTTGCATGTATAATAATTCAAAATTCTAGTTTTATCTTCATCCTAGTGATTTTTCTGCACAACACTGGTGAAAAGCAGTGATTTGAGTGTGAGCCAGTGTTGCTCACAACCAATTTTTTACTTATGAAGCTGCGTGATGCGTCCTACAAGATTTTAAACACTTGGTATGGTATGGTAACTCTTTATTTTCACTTCATCAAGCAAACAGGCAATGATGCCTTATCACCAGCCAATGGCTGACCCTTACAGAATGATGAAAACTAATAAAAATATTTAATGATTGTAACGAATCCACACAATCAAGTAGACACTTCCTTTCATCTATCAAGCGTTTTCTTTCCCTTCTCTTGAGGATAGTACCGGGAGTGTTGACTATCCTGAAGAGAAGGGAAAGAAAACGTTTGATAGATGAAAGGAAGTGTCTACTTGATTGTGTGGATTTGCGTCTTTACATGCGAAGGTACAGATTGCGAAATTATTTTGACCAAATAAATTTTCGTCATAATCAAGCAGTAACTTGATTATGCGGTAGCTTGATTATGCGGTAGCTTGATTATGCGGTAGCTTGATTATGCGGTAGCTTGATTATGCGGTAGCTTGATTATGCGGTAGCTTGATTATGCGGTAGCTTGATTATAACGAAAATTTATTATAACGAAAATTTATTAACCCTTTACCGTTTTAGGTATTTGTACAGCAAAAACCAACCGTCATTGTTCATGCCGAAACTTTTTTATTTTTCACTTTTATTATGTACAAAATGGGGTGATACTGAAAGTAAAACCCCTCAGGAATGCGATGCAACAACTTTCAAGTCCAGAAAACGAACAAAGATTTCACTATTTAGCACTAATAATTATTTGGATTTATTGCCGATCGGGCAATATGCAATAAATCAGATCCTTGCACTGGAGTGGCTCCCTCAGGTAAGTGGATACCAGGTTCGTTCTCTGGGTGGAATGCAGGAATGTTACCAGTCACAGCGGTGTCAGCATTGTCCCGAGTATTGCAAATATCGACTAGTGCAGGTTGCACCGCTGGCTGTACATAGTACCTGTGCACCACGACCTCTACTGTGACGACGGCCTATTCCACGGCCGAATCCTCTCTCTCTGCCACGTCCCCTTCCACCATTAGTGGCACTCATCTCAGCGACACTGTCGTCGTCTGTGACATCCATGTCACTCTCACTGGCGCTGCTTTCACTCGCCATGTCATCGTCGCGGTCGTCGTCAGAATAAATATTTTCAACAGGATTGTCTGGCTCCACAAACTCATCTTCGCTGGATGAGGCAGCGACAGAGTCGTCAGGAAGGGTCTCCAGAAGCGAAAGAGCTTGCTCCGCGTCCATGGCTTGCACAGCAGGGCAGACAGTCGCCAGCTCAAGCAAAAGTCGAAATAATCTGCAGGCAATACCAAAAGTCGCAGGGTACGCACTTTTCCCAAAGCGCATTTTTCAGGTCGCGATTTTCGCGATTTTTTATATTGCATCAAACAAAGAAATTGTCGGCACCCTCTGCGCGTACATCTTGGCTACCAGTAGGGAAAATCCCAGCTCTCTGCGGTGAACCAGTCCAGCGCTGTGCGCATAGAAGTCATCGACCGCGAGCGGTCGAAATTTGTACGTACAAACGGTAAAGGGTTTAAAAAAGAACTAAATATAAGGTACTAGTAGCAAAGAACAAGTAAAACTCACTTTTCATACACAAGTAGGTAAATGACTAAAAATGGGTGGGTTTTTGTTTGGCTCACGATATACGTATGGTGTGATTTCTCATCACTCTCTGCCGCAGCTCCTGGACCTGTGCGGGATGCAACAAGCCAGCTAGTCGACAGGAAAACAAACACTTACACCATCAGATGGCTGGAGCCACTAGGAACAAACCGTAAGTCTATGCGAAGATGGAAAGAAGTGAGATGTTGCGACTTCGGCGGTATTTGTAGAATAAGGTGGCTGCTCCAAATGTTGGAGCTCGCGCTATTCCGCCGACTGGCTGACACTTGACTGACTCACGACTGCCATCTGGAGCACACGAGAAGTCCATCGAACCTTCCAATCTCGCAAGAAAGCACCACTCCCTGCTAAACACACAGTGTTTCGGGTAATTCACCCCTCATCAGTTGAGCTTGAGTAGGCTGAGGAAGTGGTAATATAAAATAAGGCAATACAAAAATGATATTGGAGCGGTAAGATGATAGTGGTAGATTTTTCTTGTGACCAGACGAGGCCAGACAACGCTTTCAGAATAGTGCCCTATCTCGAATAGTGGACTATCTCGAATAGTGCCCTATCTCGAATAGTGCCCTATCTCGAATAGTGCCCTATCTCGAATAGTGCCGCAGTCCGTAAGAGCCAGAGAAAAAAAATAGAGCCCTCCCTTGAATAGTGCCCCCTCCCCCGGGCTTGTGACCAAGGGCATGCGCAAGTTGGGTGTTGTTTTGCTAACACATGTACAATTGTAGTACTACACAATCATAATTATAATCTTGTCCATGCCATTACACTGGTGGTTTCAGGATCAAAATCGCAGTTCTTGCAGCCGTTTCTGCTGAGCTGTGATAGCTAACAGTAAAACTTAGGCTCCGTTTTTCTTTGTTTTTATGTTGCCGGATGACGCGAATGTATCAGCATTGAAAAAAAATAGTTTCCTCTCTTGAATAGTGTCCAATCTGTGATGCACAGTGAAAAAATAATGCCCCAGGTGCACTGATTGCGTGAGCACGGTACCTTGGAAGTATTATACAGTCAAACTTCAGTCTAAACTGTATATGGCTATAAATAGGATGAGGGCCGCAGACATCACGCAACTACGTCACTTGTTTGACATGTATTTACTGTGTATTTTATAGGGCTGAAACGATCGTGGATTTTCACGTATCGATTACTCTTTAGCTTAACGATCGAGTAATCGATTATAATCGTTAGCAATTCTGTGCAAACATTACTCTGTTTCCACAAACTATGGCTTCATAATACCAACAAATCTGCATTAGTGAAAGGGTAGCTCCGAAACATGGCAGTTTCGAAGTCAATTTAACCTCAGAACATGAACCATACCCCTGGCAACTGCATACTCCCAGCGGAAACTGATTCCAACTTCACAAAACGAGGGTTTACAGTACTTTCTGGACAAAAATTTAAAAAAAGCGAAATAATCGTAATCGGTAATCTAAACGATTGCTCGATTGTTAGAGTTATCAAACGAGTACTCGATTATTCGGTATAATCGTTTCAGCCCTAGTATTTTATAACAAAAATATTATTGAAAACCCATAATCGATTTTCTTGTTCCTATCATCAGTGGGAAAAAATATGGAACTAAGGATAAAAATACGGAACTAAGGATAAAGTATATGCCTTGGAAATACTCTTACGAACATGCTTTTCACTTTGCAGGGGCGTTGGAAGGTATTCTGCATGGGTACAACCATGAAAAGGCCATGTCCCATGGGAAAATTTCAGGAAACTCGGGCCCAAATAGCCATACTTGAATTGTTCTAGAAATCACAGGACAAAATTATCGGCCGCACTTTGTTTGTTTGTTTGTATTCTATATTTAGAGTGGGAAGTCCAAAACAGGCCCTAGCCTAATAACAATGGTCCCACTAGTGAGGGAATGCTGTATATCTGTGCATAAGGATCAGTGAGTGTAACAGCAACTAGTAGGGAAAGAAAAAGAGAGAAGAAAAGCAACTCAAAACAGGAGTTGCGACTTGCATAGGAAGAAAATAACGGAAAGAGCAGTGCACACAGCATTTGTAAAGAGGCTTATTTATCTGGTAAGCAAAAAACACCTGCCGTATCAGTTCCGACACCCCTGCTTTGTATTAGATAAAGAGTACATTTCTGAAGACGCTAATTATCTTTTTTCTGTTATTTTACCTCGGATATTGATAAGCTGACAGTATTTATGCTGACCTATATGTCTCTTGGAGGGATTCTAAACTGATGTTTCAATGTTAGAGAACCAACGCTAAGTACAGTGAAACCGTGTTAAGAAGAACACTGATAAGACACATGTTTGCCTAAGAAGAACTAGCATTCAGAACTCGATTGGATAAAACCCTGTGTATTCACTAGGCATAACATATGGGTAAGAAGAACTCCCGTTATTGCGAACAAATATCATCGGTTCCTTGATGTTCGTCCTAAAGAGGTTTGGCTGTACGATATCACCAATTCTGTTTTGTCTCAGTTCCAGTTCTGAACTATCGCTTGGACTGTTGTGGCTCATGGGAGGCTCAGATTGGACGCGATATCAGCAAGGATTCACGCGAGGTCACCGTTGAGCTCGGCATCAGATACTGTGCTGCCGAAGTGACCATTTCTGCTGTGAACGAGAAGGGCTTGGGAGCAGTCACGACGATTCAGCTGGATATCGTTAAGGCAATTCGACCCACTCGACCTGAGATGCAAATGGAGGCCACCATGGCACCAACTACATGTAAGGCAATCCCATGCTCATGTCGTAACACTGGATCAGCACATGGTCACCGTTTCTTGTTTCTTCCATTTCCATTTTAGCATGCCATTCTCTCATAGCCATGGTCATCTTCTTCAGAATTCCCAAACTCCATTGCAGCCTATTTCTTGCACTTGAAAATACCGCCATTCCGGCAACAGGCTCTCAGCTGCACCAAATAGAACTTTGCCAATATTTCGCCCATTGGGCACCATCAGGGCATGGTCATCTGTGCAATTAAACCTGCAGGACTGCTCTGCTTTATGGCTCAGCTCCCTCCTGTTGCTCTGTTTTCGACCGTTGTTTAGGTATCTAGGTCTCTGACCAGGTCCAAAACGTGAAGCAGTCTTGAGGGAAAAGTTTATGCGTATACTACAACATACTTTTGTAGTGTTCATTAGCACATTGGAGTTCGGTTACTAGTACAGTTCTGGCAATGATATCCGGACCAGCCCACACAGACAGAAATGAAATTTTCATTTTCTGATATCAAGTATTCAGGGCTTGATTATAACTTGCCATGCAGTGCTAAAAGTAGAAATCCGTTCAAACTGGCCACAAATGTAAAATTGATATAATGCTATAATGTACAGAAAAGGTCCAGAAAGGAAAGTAGGGTCCTTTTTTAGCAGACTAAGGGCGCACTACGTCTGTGATACTATATTGTACAGTGTTAGTGATAGCAGCACTTTGGCAATTTCCCCTGCCTTGTGGATCAATTGTATGGGGCTGATCGTGGCCAAATCCCTTCCTCCCTCTCATAACAGCCACCTTCACTTTCTTTCCCCAGGAGACTCCCTTTGATAGGCATCCATTTGCCTCTGGAGAATCCTTGAAAATATATCAATCAATCAATCAATTAAATGTTTTTCATTGCCCTGTGTCTACTTCAGCTATTCCAAGTACAATCAGTGTGGGTGCGAGTTGTTCCGGAGAGCAGGAGAGCGTCTACAGGAGGCAAGTCGCTGTCCTGTTCAGCATGCTGGCGCTTGGTAGCGCCCTGATGGTGTTGGCAGTGTTGTGTTTGGACCGATGGCTCGGCAAACACTACCCCACCAGGTACACGGTTAACTGAGACATGTTCAACCTGCTCGGGGCTGAGGCAGACCCGTAGAACCTGCTTAGGGCTGAGACATGTTCAACCTGCTCAGGGCTGAGGCAGGTAGTCTTCGCCCACCGTTATGCTGACTTCATTGAATTGTCATTAAGCTTATAGATTTTAGCTTGTTTGTATTTTTTCGGTTGAAAGAAATTTGGAACTTCTGAATGGTTTACGATCTTCAACTGGATTTGCTAGATTTCCTGCTTTGTTACTATTTTCCACAAGTCCCGCTGTAAATTTCTCCCATACACTTTCCGCTGGTAAGTGTATGCTGAATACCTGTCAGGGTCTAGCCATGGCTGTGCTAGCTTGGCAGCCATGTTTGTCATGGTCACCAGAGACCTTTTTTGCATCTTCCACTCTCAAACAGTCTTCAATTAAAGATGATAGTAATGGACGGGTATTACATGCCTGGCTTTCTAGAAATGACGTTGTTTGAAGTTGCAACGACCCTCCAGCCTAGTGTTGCTATCTGGCAGTCGCAAATGAGTTGGGGACGAGGGGACTCTTTCCTTATCATCTGTCCATATTTTTGCTCACCCGGCCATGGTGTGAATGAAATTTCCAACCCTTTTTTTTCTTGTGCTGCTCCATTCCTTACGGACATGCTCGTACCAGAATGATGCCTGCTGGCTACCCCAATTCAGCTTTGCCAGAAACTTATTCATAGCGTAGCCTTCCCTCCACTCCCCCCCCCCCCCCCCCCCCTGTGGAAATATGTTCCTTGCTTGTCTCATTGTGCGGAAGTGTACGAAAGATGTGTGAAACATCTTAAGCAGAACATCCGGAATTCCGTTTTCATGAAACGCTTCATTTCGAGATGTAGAGTGTGCTCACTGCTGCGTTTGCTTGTACGTGTACTGGAGTATGGAGTATGGAGTGGTTTCCCAACTCACTTGACATGACTGATTGTGTAGAAAGTGTCCCTGACAGGTGGACCGAGATGGCCGGTATCACGTGACCTGAATATGAAGGGTTGAGTAGAGTTGGAACCATGTAGCATCGCTGCTGTGTATGATGATGTGATCTATGGGCAACAGATCTATAATAATGCAGGAGCTAGCGGTAAAGTCTGCGTATAAAATTCCGGGAAACGTCACCTTTGCTTTTACGAACACGTGAACCGAGTCTACTCTGTCCCTGCGAGAATTTGCGGAAAAAACTCTCGAAAACTTGCGCAAGAAATTGCGGCAGAAAACAACAAAAAATGCGACGAAAAGTGCGGAATGATGCAGAACTTGCCAGGAATTCGCGGAATTATTTACAGAAAATTGCGGATTTGGGCCAAATCACGAAATTTGTTGCATCGTATATCTACTTGGGAGTAGTACGAGTCGTACTGTGCAAATAACCTACAGGATCATGGAAAGCACTGCGTGAAAAGTGCATAAAAAAGTGAGATATAGTGCAGAAAACAACAACAAAATGCGGGAAATTGTGGATTTTCCTGAAAATCGCGGGTTTGGGCGAAAATCGCGAAATTTGTTGCATCCGTGGAATCGCGATTTCCTGGAGGGACAGTCTACTAGACTGTACTAGTAGAACAGTACAGGCAGCAGCTGCATGGTTGATGCTACTGCGGGGCTTTCACCTCTGTAATCAACAACGACCTGCCGGTATCTACTGCAGCGGAGGAACTCAACGGGACGTGTCCGCTAGGACAGTCCACAAACAATAAGGTTCATCCATTGGCATTGACTTTCAGAAGAGCACTTCTACCTGCTGGCACAGACCATGCAGACTGCGCAGAACCACCAGCTGATCAGAACGGCCCTGGGACATGTCGCACGCGCTCGCTGAGCTTGGGCCGGGGACATGGCGAACAAGGCACTAAAAAAAATTCGAAGATGACGGGCGGGCGGACGTGCTAAGCAAATGGCAGGCCCAGGTGATTTCCCGTGTCTGAATCTTGATCAGCGCTGGATCTGCAGCCAGCACCTCAGGACTAGCACATTCAAACTGCACCAATCTTCACACAAGCATTGAATGCTTCCATTTTCGCCTTGCGGAGTAAGCGGCGGCTTTCCACTGCACGTAACTCGTTCCACATACTGGGGGGGGGGGGGGGGGGGGGCGGGGCGGTGACGCAGTCCACGCGACTCAGTCATTCGAAGCCAGTTCATTGGCCAGCGAAGGGAAGCCTTGGTGGTGATCAATCCATAGTCGCATGCACGACTTTTCCGGCCTTCCTTGTTCCAAAGCAACCTTGCCAGCAGTTCTGACAAGCAAGAAGCTGCGGAATGGCGATATCACGCAAACCTAGCGCGGTAAGGAAGAGAATGTTTGTCCAGCTTTATGGGAGCTACTGAATCTACCTCAGTGGCAATACATGTGTATGCTGTTCTTTCTGATGCACACTCTGTAGTTTTTAGTCTTAGAAAATAATGTCCTTAGAGAAAGTAACTAGTTAGTAGTTAGTTGGGTGTCGGTTCGTCAAACCTACTCGTGTTACAGACAACACATAGGACTGTGCACATCGCACTTTCTGCTTGCGAGTCTGGGAGTTGACACTCGGGCTGACCCCTGGGAACCTGGAGCAGCCGTGCAGCGAACCTGTCACAAGAAACTGACACGGCCTCTTGTTATGGTCGGCTGTTTCTGATCCGTGGCCAATGCACGTATATTACAGGTTTGCGATGAAAATCCCGGAGATATCTATGAAGAGATCGGATTCTGGCTACTAATGTTAGCGGGGCGGACATGGTCCACACAACTTCACAAGGGAGCGTTATTCGACACGTTTTATCAATAAGCGCCGGAACTTTGCCCATAGCTGTTTATCCACTCTTCCTGAGTTTTGGGAGAAGAAGTTTCCACCTATGTACATAATTGTGGTTGTATCATGTTATGATGGTGCCTGGTGAAAAGGCGGTAGATAGAACTTCGAACTCGGAAGTATACGAAATATCCGCCTGCCTACACTCGCTCATCAGGTAGCACATGGTGCATAGAAGGTGCAGTAACGAATTGCCTTGATTACGATGTAGAGCTACGTTTCGGTCCCGGCGATGCCATCACTGGGATGGTGGCGAGCAAGTACCGGTAGAGTTCTGTGCCAGGTTGTATCTGTTAGTTTGCAGCTAGTGAGCGGGTGTGACCAGGCAGGCGTGTAGTCCCGTGATTTCCCCTGGTATGTCTTCATCACCAGATAGTTCCAACTTCTTCTTTGTTTTCGACTCTTCTTCTGTCTTCTCGTGTTTTAGCTCCGTTGTCAAATTGTGGTCTGCCTTACGCCTTAGTACCTCTAGCAAGTCTCTAACTATTTAGTTTGGGATTGTTAGCTGAAATATTTTCGTTCGCATATTGTAGCCGACTGTCGTTTTTGGTTGGAGTGCTGTGTAGAAACGGAGGGTGTGTTTTTCCCGACTGTAGTGTAAACTTCAGTAGAATCTGCTGGTCATTCCGGTTTGAACCCTCTCATAACCAATGTGTGTGCTTACGTGCGATGTTTGTTCCGCATTCTACAGGTCTCCGCGCTCGCAGGTTTCCTGACTATCTCAGTCACAGGTCTGCTCCTTTTGCTGCTAAGCCCTGGCCCAGGTTAGATCTATGTTTGCACCTAGTTGTCACTGTCTATCCCGCTCCTCCTCCCCCCCCCCCCCCCCAACCCCCACTTGCTCAGGTCAAGAGTATGCTGAATCAGTACAAGTCATGTATAACGGGAGAGCTTGGAAGCTCAGGACCCTACCGCTATGCTTTTTTGCCTAGCTCATCATGCATGTTATTAGAACTGATAGAAATGTTTGTTTTTCCATTGACTGGCTACATCATTGTATTGAAAAAAGGTTCCAGTCAGTTTGGAATATGAGTTAGGCAAAAGTAAAAAAATCATTTCTCCTCAATCAGTGATACAAGCTGGATCGACATTTGTGTACCCTGTATTCATGTATTGTAAAACTGTGGAGACAATGTGCAATAAAACGATGAAAATGTGAAGAAATTGTGTAGAGAAAGAAAGGGTTTCAAACAAGTTTTCGTACAACACTCATCAGGAATCTTCGTTGTACTAAAGGACGCTGAAAACAAAATTGAACTATTATAGAAAATCTAAGTTAGAGAAACAACACTAAGAACAACAGCAGTGAAATTTCTTCACATTTTCATCGTTTTATTGCACATTGTCACAGTTTTACAATACATGAATACAGTGTACACAAATGTCGATCCAGCTTGTATTACTGATTGCGGTTATCAAATTGTTGTCTCCTCGCCGTTTGTTCAAATCATTTCTCCTATTAATTTTTCTTTTCAAGACAACCTGGGATTCGAACCCGTACTACAGTGGTCCCTCTATAATCCGGCACCATTTGTGCCACGAAAATCTGCTGGATTAGGGAGGGTGCTGGATTAACAAATCTGATTTACTGCTGCAATGTGCATGAAGAGGACATTTTGGCTACTGAAAATTGTGCTGGTTTATCGAGGGTGCTGGATTATAAAGTGCCGGATTAGAGAGGGACGACTGTATCGCCCTGCATGCATTCCCCGATACACTTCGCATACATACTCATTCTTCCAAGTTGCTTGACGTTATGATCTTGCATTTGAAAGCCCTATTTGAAGATTGTGGCCAGCTTAGCTGTCTTTGATGGTACGGTACGGGACAGGTACGGGATAGAGCCAGGCATGCCGGTGGCACAAACAAACACGGAATTAAAGCTGTGTGGACTCTGGCTAGCGCCAGAGGTTACAGAAGTAACGTCTTTTGCAAAGCTACGGGAAAAATTAAAAAGATGTTGGGGAGGGTCACACCTGCATGTTCTAAGAACTAGTGTCACTGTGGACAACTCTTTTGGACAAATCACTGGGTTTTCACTGAGTTTTCACTGGGTTTCCACTGGGTTTTCACTGGGTAGAAAGTATGGATTAAAAGAAAATACGTTAGCAAAAATGCCATCAGTCCATTGGTGTTCCGACTTTGACTGTTGCCAATACTCATCGTGAGTATACAGAGAAGTCCGCACATTGCGCCCTGCACCTGGAAAAGTGGTTGGATTTGGGTGGCCTCTACTACTAGAGCTAGACCTTGAAATTGGCGGATAAAAACAAGAAAAAAGAAAAGAAGTTCACAAGTTCGCGTTACGACCGACTACAATTAATTGCGGCGAAGAACACAAGAGGAAGTTTCAGATGATGCGCGAAAAATTGGCAGATTCTGCCAAGGCCGGACCTACAGTTGACCCACCAAATTCCTGCATACCGGTGCATGCAGATAGTGGGTTGAAAATCAGGTAGTCCCTGGTCACAGTTGAAAAATTGTTCATTTGGTTGGTCTGTTGGTTCATATTATTTTTTATTTCTACAAAATGAACAGGCATTGCTGCCTTCTTGCATTGACAAGTGCATTGTGTCCAAGCTCTCGCAGAATGACAAAGAAAGGAATGAAACATGACAAGGGAGTGTAAATCATGCCAGCATAAGGAAGAGAGAGAGAGTGTTGTGGCAATATGCCCGGCACAACCGTCCTGCAACACAGTGGTTGCTGATAAGGGTACCTACTGGTGTGATTGTGGAGAGGTGTGCTGACCATAGTCTCTAGATGGCAAGCAAGATAAGAAGTTATCAAGAACATACACTCAACTAAGTCTTTGCGTATAACGACACTCGGCGGGGCATCAGAAAGGTGTCCTTATTCGTGAAGTGTCCTTATACCCGAAGTCTCATTATATGTATTACAGTTAGATGGGACTTTGCTCTGGACATGGGCATTCTGTCGTTATTCGCGAATAGTCGTTATATCCGCAGTTGGTATTAGCGAAGTTGACTGTACAATCATGTATCTGCCATTGTCTCTGCCCTATTTATGTCTACTACCGTCCAGCATTGGCACAACTGATCAGATTCCAAACGGTCCTGACCGCCAATCCAGGTTCCAAGTACAGTACAGTGCCAGGCTTTTCCCAAGCCCTGCCCGGAGAGTCGGTGGCCAGCTGGGAGCTCGGCACCGCGGTCGAGTGCAGCATCATCGGAAAGGAAACGGACTTCAGCGCCCAGGGCATCAATACCGACTACCCGTTCTGGCTGAAGGACGACGAGCCGATCCGCGGTGGCCACCTACTGACGTACGCTACCACGTCCCCGACGGGCATGTCTAGATACATCTCGACGTTTCGCTGGCCTACCACCGTCACACGGGAACACGCCGGTGTGTACACATGTGGTGCCGGATACGACCTGCACGCCTTCGAGATCCGCTTCTTTGGTGAGTGAGTCACGAGCAAGTGTAGCAATGGAGAGGTTAAGATGCACGTTATTTCCAACGTGACGCACAATTTCACGTCAATTTTTGGCGTAAAACTCCAAATTTCGACGTGATCTGTAGGTCACTCGTGTTGTTTTTCGATGCGCGAGCCAAATAACGCGAGCTGAACTATTGCGTCACGTCGGAAATAATGTGCATCTTAACCTCTCTATGATAGGAATACTCGCACTCATACACTTCCTGTTGCTGATTTCCACGTCTGGCTGCGGCCAACTGCCCTTCGATTTGTGCGTTGTCGCTATTGCTGTCTATGTCCTCAGTGTAACAATATAGGAATACAGTTTAACCTGTGAAGGAGACCACTCGGATAAGGCGACCACCTGCCCTAGAAGACCACTGAAACCAGGACGAATGGATGCTATTTCCAGTCAAATAACCCTGGATAAGGAGACCACCTGGTAACAGAGACCGCGTTTTGAAAGGCCCATGAGCGGTCGTCTTAGACAGGTTCCACTGTATTGTCATGTTGCGTACTGTCCAAGCCGATGGGTTTATTCCTGTCCAAGCCGATGGGTTTATTCCTGTCCAAGCCGATGGATTTATTCCTGTCGAAGCCGATGGGTTTATTCCTGTCCAAGTCGATGGGTTTATTCCTGTCCAAGCCGATGGATTTATTCCTGTCGAAGCCGATGTGTTTATTCCTGTCCAAGCCGATGGGTTTATTCCTGTCCAAGCCGATGGGTTTATTCCTGTCCAAGCCGATGGGTTTATTCCTGTCCAAGCCGATGGGTTTATTCCTGTCCAAGCCGATGGGTTTATTCCTGTCCAAGCCGATGGGTTTATTCCTGTCCAAGCCGATGGGTTTATTCCTGTCCAAGCCGATGGGTTTATTCCTGTCCAAGCCGATGGATTTATTCCTGTCCAAGCCGATGGGTTTATTCCTGTATTCCTGTCCAAGCCGATGGGTTTATTCCTGTCCAAGCCGATGGGTTTATTCCTGTCCAAGCCGATGGGTTTATTCCTGTCCAAGCCGATGGGTTTATTCCTGCCCAAGCCGATGGGTTTATTCCTGCCCAAGCCGATGGGTTTATTCCTGTCCAAGCCGATGGGTTTATTCCTGCCCAAGCCGATGTGTTTATTCCTGTCCAAGCCGATGGATTTATTCCTGTCCAAGCCGATGTGTTTATTCCTGTCCAAGCCGATGTGTTTATTCCTGTCCAAGCCGATGTGTTTATTCCTGTCCAAGCCGATGGGTTTATTCCTGTCCAAGCCGATGGGTTTATTCCTGTCCAAGCCGATGGGTTTATTCCTGTCCAAGCCGATGGGTTTATTCCTGTCCAAGCCGATGGGTTTATTCCTGTCCATGCTGATGGGTTTATTTCTGTCCAAGCCGATGGGTTTATTCCTGTCCAAGCCGATGGGTTTAATCCTGTCCAAGCCGATGGGTTTATTCCTGTCCAAGCCGATGGGTTTGTTCCTGTCCAAGCCGATGGGTTTGTTCCTGTCCAAGCCGATGGGTTTCTTCCTGTCCAAGCCGATGGGTTTCTTCCTGTCCAAGCCGATGGGTTTATTCCTGTCCAAGCCGATGGGTTTATTCCTGTCCAAGCCGATGGGTTTATTCCTGTCCAAGCCGATGGGTTTATTCCTGTCCAAGCCGATGGGTTTATTCCTGTCCAAGCCGATGGATTTATTCCTGTCCAAGCCGATGTGTTTATTCCTGTCCAAGCCGATGGGTTTATTCCTGTCCAAGCCGATGGGTTTATTCCTGTCCAAGCCGATGGGTTTATTCCTGTCCAAGCCGATGGGTTTATTCCTGTCCAAGCCGATGGGTTTATTCCTGTCCAAGCCGATGGGTTTATTCCTGTCCAAGCGGATGGGTTTATTCCTGTCCAAGTCAAGTCAGGCTTCAATTCGAGTCAGGCATGTCTGCATAAGCCAGCACTAAACCAGGTTTAGATGCCCACAGTGCATCTTGAAAATCAGGCTTGTAACGGAATCTCAGCCATTCCGTTCCCCGGGACGCAGGACACAAAGGACAAGACTAGTTTGATTTACATAATTATTATTGACATTACGGAAATGGAGACAACACTCAAAGGGACGAACAAGAAGACTGACAAAAGGACTCTCGACTACAAAATCGCGCATGCTCATATCACACATGCACGCGACTAGACGAGACAGTTTGGGGAATGCCATCACACAGGAAAACAACACATCATTTTACAACAGGCTTGTATTCGGAGGTGCACATCATCACAACATGGATAGGTGTGCCTATCGTTAGAAGGAATTGGCTTTGATTGGCTGTCTTCTTGGAATCATATCTTTCGTCAAATGGGTCATGGTGTTTTTGGGATTTCTGCTTCTTTTTGTGTTGTTTTGGTTTTACCTCAGCTGTAGTCCCCTCCACTGATAGTCGATGTTAGCGCTAGTATTAGCTCAACTCTTTTTCGCGCTGCTTCTCACACCCTCTTACTGACAGGGGTGTTGTTGGCCTTTATCAATGCTGATTTGGGAGCTTGCACATCATTGTGAACCTGATGAAGGCAATTTGCCGAAACGTTGTAATATTGTGAAATGGGTTGAACTATTGCAGCGTTAATGGAAGAGAGCGTGTGGGCTCTACTACTTAACTGTTTATGAAACTGCAGGAAGCCTCCCCACTTTTACTTTCTGCTTCTGTTTCAGATATTCCGAGAATCACGAACATTTCAGAATCAGCCAATGTGCCAAAGGGCTCCACCAAGGTTCTCCACTGTAGTGGTGATGGCGAGGAACCACTCATCATTTCCTGGTACAAGAACGGCATTCAGCTGCAGCGCTTGATTCCCTTGGACCACCATCTTGAGCTCCGGATCGGTGGACCAGGGCAAGCCAGCTTGGCCGGATCGTACACCTGTGAGATCAAGAATCCGTACGGCGTCAACACTTCTCGCTCTGTTATCATTTCCACAACAGGTACGAATCTGATCCGTCTTGCATGAAAATACCAGGTCGCATTTCCTTGTACCTTGAAGAATCCACACTATTATAAAAAAAACCTCCTCAATAAGGGTCCAGAATCAATATGACATGAAGCTGTGAACCAATCTCCCTCTGTTATTATTTCTACAACAGGTAAAAAATCTGAGCTCTTGCATGGAGATATCGGGTCATTTTTTTGGTGGGAGATCTCGCTCTACGGAAATACGCATGAAAATAACGTAAGAACTGCACGTCATTTTCATAAGTAAATCAGCGCTGTTGGGTTTCACTCGACGTGATTTCTCCACGGCTGCTAAACACGCCTTGTTGCTTTGGATACGCGTTGGCTGCACGCGCCCACCGCATGCACCACAAACCGAAACCGCGTTTCCACTCTATTTTGCATGTGGCGCACGGTGTGTGTACCTTGTGTTTCGCGCGGCTTGAACGTTACCATGGAAAAATCCGGAAAATGAGAAAAATATTTCCCGGAGGACCCAACGTAGGAAAGAGCTTTCCCACAGAAATCCGTAGAGAGATTTACGCATGAAAGTTGCCCTCGCTCCCCGACTCGTCGACAAACGGATTTTCATACGTAATTACGTAGAGCGAAACCTCTCTAGTATTGAGAGGAACTCATCGATATGGATTACTGCTATAGTCAAACAGAGGCCAGGATTTTGAGGTAATGGAGAATTGGACTCTTATCCTGAATGGCTTCATGCACATTAAATCCGTTCCATTACTGTTCATGAATGCTGTGAAAGTGACACCCATGGGTATGGACTTGCACCTCATCTCTTATTAGCCCATTCACCGGTAAAGACGTGCACGCTCGTCATTGAGAATGACACCCAGGTGCTGAGGACGCATAATATTAACGCACCAGTATACCTATTGAGGACCGGTATAACGGTCCACTCTTACCCAGATAGGGAAGCATGGGAGCAGCGAATGGGATTTTCGGTCTTTGATCAATTTGCGGTGGGTCTGATTTACTCACCTGCCTCCGCTTTAGGAGCTGCATCTACGCCTTCACCCATAGAGGGTGGTGGCGTTCCCATGGATGCGCAAAACTTGGCCTCCAGCCTAGTCTCACATGAACAATGATTTTTTTGTTTTTTTTTACCAAGATACAAGAATTGGGAAATTAGAGGCCACATGCCACCTACTGCTCTTTTCTCTCCGAAACTCAACACTTGCAAGCCAGATATGAAAGAAAGAAAAAATCATCAGTCACACCACCGGGACTCGAACCTAGATACAGGTACTTGATATTGTTTGCAGGCAACTGCCTACACTCGAGAGAGCACTGCATTTCACACAAATCCATGAGAGAGAGAGAGAGAGAGAGAGAGAGAGAGAGAGAGAGAGAGAGAGAGAGAGAGAGAGTGATTCCTGATGATGGTCATGAAGACCGAAACGTTGAAACGATACCTCTAATGGATTTGTGTGAAATGCAGTGCTCTCTTGAGTGTAGGCAGGTTGCCTGCAAACAATTTCAAGTGCAAAATTTTGAAAAGATACAGGTGCATGATTGTACTGTGCTGCATGACAACTGTTTAATCCTCTAGAGCAAGCTGTGGCACCCAATGTGACAGTCAGTGATGCCTCCAGCTCCCATTTGGTCATTCAGCTGCAGGTGAGATCCCATCCCATAGGTATTGCCATTCATGTGTTTTTATCCTTGATCGGATGCACCTCACAAGCATTGTACGAAACAACAATTTGGGGTGCCGAAGCTATGTCTTGCTATGGGCCTCTCTTTAATTGGGTATACAATCACCCATGCTCATGTATGCACACACACACACACACACACACACACACACACACACACGTGCACGCCCATGCACGCACACACACGCACACCACACGCACAACACACACACACACACACAAACACACACACACTTGTTGCTCACTGCCAAAACTGGTCACGTGGGTCTCCCCGGGAGAGGGGAGAGAGACTCAAAAGAAATCTTGGAAAGATGACTCAACTGGCTATTGACCCGCCCAACGGCCGACACCCCCTGAAATCCCCAAAACTCTGGGTGGACTTTAAAATGATCCCACTTATGGGCTCACCACACCTCAGTAAGTGGGTGAGGACAAGGTGCAGAAAAAGGATTGATGGCATCAGGGTATCCGTCCTGGGATCCAACTGAAGTTACCCCTGCCCCCAGTGAAGGTAATACTTGCTACTAGTGTGGGTGGCTAAAACAGAGTGGATCTGATCTAAGCATCACTAGCACCATTGATTACACAAGAGTTAATCTAGCCAGAAGCAGTCCATGGTTAACAGGTATGTATACTTCAAATAGAAAGTATACGAACCCTGAAACCAACAAATGTGGCAGATACAACAATACACCTTGTTGTTGTTGTTGTTTTCTTTATTTGAATTCGCTAAACCAAACGGACAGAACTGTCCAGTGACAAGGGAGCGAATGATGAGCATCATAATCACTATGCATCAAAACATCTCAGGACAAAATGAGACAGACTATATTAAGGGAGGGTCTGCACAACACTTTTACATAAAGGGGAGTACGAGAACAAAGGCGCGGCAGAAGTCGAAGCAAGAAAGCAATCAACGCCAGAGATATTTTTGTCCACCAAAAACAGAGAGAGAGAGAGAGAGAGAGAGAGAGAGAGAGAGAGAGAGAGATCCGAGAGCGAGAGAGAGACAGAGAGAGAGACAGAGAGACTGACATATGAAGGCTGAGCCTCTACAACAGGGCTTTACGTCTGAAAACAACCGCACGAATTAACAAGCAAGTTGTCAGAGAACAGGGAGAGAGCCCCCCCCCCTTCAAGCAGCCGAGCCTGTTGGCAACAGATCCAACACAATCAGGCATAAGTTTACCCACCAACCGAACTAGCTGGCACACGCACACACACACACACACCCCCACACACACACACACACACACACACACTCACACACACACACACTCACACACACACACCACAGACCTCAGACCTCAGACATACCCATCGCGGAAGCGATGATAGCAAACAGCTATGTTAGACATAGCAACTTGTGCCCGGATTACACCATTCAACAGCTTGCAAGGCGGATGATTTGACCGCCACTATTTTTAGCCTGGTATCCACCACACAGCTGTTTGAAGTGACTTTTCTGTCCAGTGAATCCCTATTATTCATTTTTCCATTTTTCTTTCTTTCTTTTTTCTACACACACACACCACACCACATACTCCGGCATACACTGGCTGTTCGTAACCACCCAGGAGCATGAAAGAAAAGTCAGGAAGAGTCCGAGAAAGAGAAGAAAGACGTGTGCAACCATAATCGTCGGACACACACACACACACACACACACACACACACAAGTGCCCACACACCCATGCATGCGCGCACATGCACTCCACTCATTCCCTGGCGATAGTGAAACGTGTACTCAGCTAAGGCATCAAGAAAATTGGTGATTGTAGAAGATACGGAGAAGAACATAACTATTACTGTAAATCATATATATTTCATGAAGTCGGTTGGTTGGTTGGTTGTTCCAATTATATTTCGTAAGCGAATAATATTCGTAGACTGAGAAAAAGAGCATTTCATAGTCATCTAACTTTCGTAAGTACCATAATTGGGGGCTACTACTTACATGCAAATGCATGCAGTACTGTGACAAACTGTATTTTAAAGCGTTATAATTTCGTAAGAGGCAGGAGCCTTACGAAAATTTCGAAATTAAAACGACTACAAAATGCAATTGATTTCCAGTAGCTCAGCATCACAACTGACAGTGTTGGTGTTACGCATGTGTCTATTCCAGTACCGTGGAACGGTAGCAAACAGCCTGGATGAGATCTCTGGCTATCGTGTGGCTTTCCGTGCACTCAATGACGACGTGCAATGCAGCGACAGCGGGAGCTGCGTCTCATCTGGTACCAGGACCGTTGAAGGTGAGCAACTGTCTGCAGCAGGTTCATTTGGAGCACGAACGACTCGTTGCTGATGTCATCGGTGCAGAGATTGGCTAAAACGAAACTAGCAGCCATGATGTCATACTGTTACCTAGCACCAGTGTATTGGCGACTCAGTATTAGCAAAGAGTATATAACCCCCCTTCTATGGGGTTCGCCAACGGCGAAAACTCACATCACGTGGTGAAGTGTCGCAGTTGTACGTTTCCGGCCCGTTTTCAGCGAGCAGCGGAGTAATAAGAAAAGCACTCTCTGACAGAAACTCACTGCGCATATGCAAATCCCCAGCACGATCCTGGCAGATGTTGAGATTGCGCGCACGCTATCCTTCGTTTTGTACATAGTACGAAACGCACCTGAGACACGTGATGTGAGTTTTCGCAGTCGGAGACCCCATATGCAGAGTTGCACACTCTTGGGGGTTATATACTCGGGTATTATGGACCTCCAACACCTGTAGAGTGTTTAATTTATAGCTAAGGCACTCTACCTCAGCAGTCATGTGACCAAGGTGGCACAATGCAAACGGGTCCTCCAAAATACTACTTTACTGTAAACCGCCCAATATTCGCGTCACTAAATTTTCACGATTTCTTAGAACCGGCAAGTTTGCGATGGCAAAAGTTCGCGAAGCACCGGGGCACCTACATACACCCACTGTTGAAGCTTGATTTCACGCTGATTAATATTCGCGTTACGCTCTTCTCGCGAAAATAGCGAACATTAATCCGTCGTGCATATTAGGCAGTTTACAGTATATCCTGTAGTTGAGCTCAGGTACTGAGTAAATATTTAATGCAGTGTTGAAATATTATAACCTGCGACTCTTTTAGGAACAACATTGGTGGGGAAGGTGCGTGCAACCAAGACAAACCGAAAGTCCTAGCTGTGAAGGACTTCCCCTCCTATGTTAGTCACGACTCTCTTCTCCACCTCCCTGCAGGAACCTCGAAAACGACGTCCACTCTCCGGCTGAGCAACCTGAGCGGTAATGCTATGTACCAGGTTACCGTGGTCGCCATAAACAGAGCCGGTGTTGGACGTGAGGCTGTCATCACCACGGAAACCCTTGCACTCTGTAAGTGGTTGCTGGTCGTGCGGCCGTTCTGTAGCAATTTCGAGGCCTCTGAGCTAAACCATGTCCAGTTGGGGCTTGTAATCTGTAGATTGGTTCCACCTTTCTGTCTAGTAATCCGAATTTCAAAAACCATTCCATTAGCGGCGAATCTGTGTCGCCCGTAGATTTACAGTATTCGATGAAGAGGTTCTTTTACTTGTTGTTGCAAATCTATGTTTGTGCCCTGATTATCTGTACCCCAAGGCCGGGCTTATTCCTGTAGAAGTCGGTGTGACGTCAAGGTCTTCGTTGAATTAATGTCTGCATACCAGGCCCGTATCTCCTACAATGTCAACACAGAGATCAGGTTTTTCAATGTGTGGAGATGGTACATCTTGAAAAGACAGCTTTTATTCAAAAGGGTCTCTGGAAGAGGCTGATCTTTGTGCTACTAGTACAAGACCGTAAATAGTTATGGTACACAATTACACTTTTCATGTCCTTGCTGTTCTAGATTCTCCTACTTCACAGACGAATGCAGCCTTCGCACCAACAACCACCGCTGCTCTCACTACAGAGATGATCGAAGCACTGAAGTCCTCAGGTAAAACGCTTGCTTCACGGTGCATTATACCTCAACTCGAGCTTTCCAAATACGGTCTCTTTGCTGCACAAGTCATTTTAAAATTGATAAATCATCGAATTCACGGTACATTACAATAATATTGATCTTTCCTCCTTCACCAGCAAAAAAAGGCATTGCACTGGATGATGAAGTGTACGTAATTTTACTCTTTTAGGACGGGTGTTTGAGACGACAAGCTCGTTCCTATTACGACTGTGAAGTGAAGTATGCAGAACACTGAACCAAACTGCAAGAAGCCTCATCATTTTGTCTGATCCATGCAGTTATACTTGTTTTTTGGCCTGCATAGCATCACTGTTTCGTTCCGGTACCTGATAATGGCAGTATTGCCGAAATGTTGTATGTTAAGAATTGGCTTGGTCCTTTGCAGTGCTTTGGGAATGGGTGTGTCCACCCAACTACTTTCCACAGATGGAACTGCAAGTTGCCTCGAGATTACGTCTCCCAGTTCTAGTTTAATGCAATGAATAGTGCAAGTTACGCACTCAAAGAAACCACGACCAAAAACTACTTGTCATTTACACGTATGTTCCTTGAAAGTTTTCGAATTTGCCAGTAATCCTTCTGATGAGATGGCCTCGGAAACGTTCAAGGAACATATAATGTAAATGACAAGTAGTTTTCGGTCATGGTTTTTGTACTGAGTTCGCAACTTGCCGTATTCATTACGTTAATATCATTCTTATCTCCACGGAAAAGTTTTAGTTATATTCCGAGATCCATTTAAGCGGTTCTTTGCTCGGCCCAAATTTCTAATTATGTCACCATGGTAGCAGGAACCTGTTCACTTTGCTGCAAGATTATTATATATTACTATTATTATTATTTTTGTTTCCGTTCCGGATGGGACTCACGACGGCAGAATTGACTGTGAGCATGGGTGTGTGAGAGTGGGAAAACGAAATGAAAAAGAGGGTCTTGTAATAAAGGTCAAATGCAAGATGAATGCGTCGAGACTTTGCGTATTTTCTTTTGTTCGGCATTCCAATACAGGGAGTGGTGGCGCTAATGTCGGTGCGGCTGTTGGCGTGCCGCTCGGCATTCTCATTGGTCTGGTGCCGCTTGCAGTGGTGTTCATACACCTGAAGCGCAGCGGACATGGCGTCAGCGAGATGATACCGACCGTCGCACACAGGATTCGCCAGCTGGTCCGCCGACGTCGTAAGTAGAATGTAGAGTAATCACCCCTACCCAAGGCAAGGGCTTGGAGATAGGCGTTGACGCTAGCGATGTTCCAAATATCGGAGTTGGCAAAATGAAGGAAATTGGAGGCTGACTGGGTGAAGACTTGCCTGGGCGTTTTCCTACAATCGGTATTATTATTACAAGTAGATTGTCAGAAAGCCAAGCCTTTGAGCAGCTTTTAAAAATTTAATGTCCCGTCAACCTCATGAATAACATCACCTTGGGGAATACCAGCCTTAGGTAAAACAATATCGCCAATTATGACACAAACATCAAGCATGCATCACTGATATCGATCTTGGTGTGAATTCCCTATCCTCACAGCACCACCCCCGCCTACAGTCATTGCCCATCGTCCGGCGTCCAACAGTGACATGATGGACGCCTGCAGCATGCAGGACGACTGCATGTCTACGGCTACGGCGCGGACAACTGACTACGCCGTGGCCAGCTTTGTCAATGGCCGAGTGATGGTACTCGACGGTTTGCCTTCCCAGCAAGAAGACACCTACGCAAACAGCAATGTGTTTGCCCCGATACCAGCTCCATCGTACAATGCTCAGCACGAAGCCAACGACTATGAGAGCATCGCAACACCTCCATTACCTGCCAGTGCCGAGCAGGGAACCGACAATGAGGTGGCCGACAATGAGGCGGCCGACAATGAGGTGGCCGACAATGACTCGGCCACCGTTTCATCCTCGCCTTGCCGCGAGGAGCAGTCGATGCCAGCCGACCTACCGATATTGTGCGACTCGACCACAGATACTGGCATGGAGTGAGACATGTGCCCCGCCTGTGACCGCGGCACCTGTACATTCCCGTGTGCATGTGTTACTTAGGATAGTGTCCGCCTACCCGTCTCCACCTTGTGCGTAGATACAACGGAACCCGTGATTGGCGGTCAGACCATGGTGTACCAAATTCCGGTCCATATTGACAGAGGTCGCTCAACAGAGGTTCAATGCCTGCAGAAACATAGTTTAGAGGCGACATGATCGGTCTCATAAGACAGGTGCTCCTTCCCCACAGGTTTTCCTCTTAGGTCTCTAGGCTGTACATTTTTAGAAACACAAAATTAGAAAAATTAATCAGGTGTGCAAGAATGGACTCGGATGGAGAGCCAAGGATTGTTTAGTAATAACTGGTGATGTTAGTAGACATTTTAGCGTAACTTGTAGTTCCTTGGTCCTTTTTCTTTTCTATAAAAAAATTATAAGATAAAATTAACTGCTGGTCTTCCTCTGTTGCATCTTTGGCCTAAATTCTCCTAGCTTTGCCACTGCTAGTGCAGTGCATATACGGTTACAACTCATTGTTCAAAGGACTTCCACAAATGCGCTGCATATTCCCGTTTTCCCGGACGTCAAGATGCATGAACTCGCTTTCTTCCACCGGATGCAGATCATTTTGTGTTCGGTGCGAGTTTAATTTGGGACGTCACTGGTCCTGATAGCCAGTTGATCGGTCCAGATCCACATAGTTAGTTTGGATGGGCATTTGTCATGATCATGATTGGACGAAGGCCAATCTTCAAATCACAAGATTGTTGCCACTGAAGTCACGCCCCCCCCCCCCCTATCTTTTCCTGTACATATTCATAGACCGGAATTTCCGTCTCATTCTCCTTGCTCCATGTATTGCTAGCCTCTGTCCCTCCCCACTGCCTCTCACTGGCTCGTGTGGCATGCTCAGCTATCCGCACATTAATTTTTCAAGTCTGTCTGTTTATCTTCCTGCATCCCTCTGGGCTTATCATTCGACTCAGTCATCCACTCTTGCACTGCATTGGCTGTATGTGTACTATGCATGTATTCCCACTGGTCAATTCGTGACGTGTTGTCTATTGGCTAATCGTATGTCTGTAGGGTCACGTGACTTTCCACCCTTTTCACTGGCCAACGATGTTTGTGTTCAGTGGAAATGTTTTTATACATGGCTAACCACGTACAAACGCATTTGTGCGTTTGTTGCTTATCCTGTTTATGCTCGTCCATGCTTTTGTTTTGTTTGTTTTGTTTTGCTTGTTTTTGGGAACATAGCCCCATGCTGTGTGATCAGTGGCGTTGAGTAGAGACAAATGGCGTTACATATGACGCCATGACTGTATTGGTTCACCGACGAAAAGAGATTTCTTTTTTCTCCTTCGTTACAATAATGCAACGCTATATGCACAAGTCAAACCCTGGCATTCGGGGCGTCAACAAGCAAGACATGGCGGATAAAATGACAGTCTAGTAACATTATGCAGTCGGTCAAACTGTCAGCGAATCTGTACAATGATCATGTAGCGACTTCATCCATTTTACGATGACTTCATCCATTTTACGATGACTTCACTTCGTGCGTATTACACATGTGGTGCAGCAACGCAAGTAGGCCGTGCCGCCCACTAGCACGTCACGGCTTTACCCTGTCCAAGGGCCAGTTTCGTGATCATGGTGATGGGCTGGCGCTTCGCTATGGGTGGCACCCGGACCGACTGCCATCAACCTGCTCGTGTGGTGCACCGTTCACTAGTGTTGCACAGTCATGCTCTCTCCTGCGCTACGGGCGGCTTCATTATCATGCGGCACAATGAGGTGAGGACATGAGGGATTTCGTCGCAGCTGCTCGGTCGTGTGGCGCATGACGTCAACGTCGAGCCAACCCTCCCGCTGTTGTCCGGGGAGAACTTGCGCTATCGCACAGCTGTGCGGGATGACCTGGGTCGGCTGGATGTTGTCGCGTGCGGTATCTATGGCGGCCGGTTTGAACGGAGCTACCTGGACGTCCGGGTCTTCAACCCGCACGCTCCATCGAATCGCTCATCATCTGCGGCATCCTGCTACAAGCGACACGAACGTGAGAAGCGCCGGGCCTACGGAGAAAGGGTTCAGCACGTTGAGCGGGCGGGCTTCATCGCTGTGGTTTTTTTGGCACATGGTGGCATGGGCAATTCAGCTACAGTAAAACCTGTAACTAACGACCACCGTGACTAGCGACCAGCCTGGTACTACAGACCACTTCGTCAGGCACGGACGGTCTCACATTCAAAATGCACTGTGACTAGCGACTACCTGCTGAACGCGACCAGCGACCGCCTTTTCTTGTCCCAATGTCGAATTTTGACCCGTAACTAGCGACCGCGATGTAGGAAATCAAACATTGCTCGAAGCTCCTTCTCGAAATGTTGATGATTTTCCATGGTCCTGAAAGGACTGTTTCGATACTACAGCTGGACAAATGAACGCAGTCTCATTTTGACTGTGGAATCAGTGTGGACTGCACTACACCTGTCATAATTTCAAGTGCTGTCAAGAACAAACATGATAGGAAACGTCTTGGAGAGCGCATCCAAAGCGCTCTTTGATCGATGTTTACTACTCGAAGGAGAAACTAAGACTGAGCGGCTCTCTGTCGAAGTGCAATCACACAGCTCAGTCACCAGGTCACACTGAGTCCACAGAAGTCAGAGAAGTATCCGGCAAAGAAGCACTGTCCTGCATCTCAACATTGCAACAGTTTACGTTGCAGCGTGGCTTGTCTACCATGGCAATGGATGTAGAGAAACTTGGTGCCTTCATGAACAAACTTGAAGCCCAGCGCAAAGAGAAGCTTCAACTGGGAACTCTTGACTCCTGGCTTCAGAAGTAGGAGCTGAATTTAATGTCTGCAATAAAACTTGATTTTCTCTCTCTCCAAGTGTTGTATGATCTGAAAGAACAATGTCAGTGCGCAAGTGGTGGGGGATTGTATTATCTGCATTTTGATATACATATCATATAATGGGATCCATATATGGTCATGCGGTGCAAACCTCTAACTAAAGACCACCTGCCACTAAAGACCACTTTTCCGGGCACCAAGGGGTGGTCGTTAGTTACAGGTTTTACTGTATTTCTCTTTACAAGCGCATTGCCTCCATGTTGTCCGCGAAGACTCGTGAAGCCTCCTCCTCTGTCATGGCCTGGATTCGTGCCCGGATGAGCTTCCCCTCCTGAGAGCAAGTGTTGCCTGTCTTCGGGGTGCCCGCCGACCGATCCACTGCCTTGTCTCTGCTTCTACCGCACTGGCGGTTGCCGAGGCTAGGATTGTGATCTGATCCGGCTCAGGAGCCAACTTGTTTTATTCAAAGATCCACATTTAACACCATAGCTCAGTGGTTAGAGCATCGCTGGCTACAAGCGAGGGTCCCTGGTTCGAGTCCTGGTGGTGACAGTCAATTTTTTTCTTCAGACTTTTCCCGTTTGTCTCTTTCCCTCAAACCAGTTAATATCCACATTTAAGTGAATAATACCAAGAAGGTACAAGAGAGGAGCTAGAGAGAAAAGGGAAACCAAGGAGGAGTGCAGGTGGAAAAGGAAAAGTCACTTGAAAGATTAGAACATTGAAAGGATCAGTCACGCAATACGGTTAATTCCCATCGTCAATCGGATAATTATTCATCCCTACGCAAGAAGTAGGTCGTTATTTCTTCAAGTATTAACAAGGAAAACATAATATTTTACCAAGCATGCCTGCAAAAGACACAGAACACACTATTATTGATGCAACTAGCCTACAATTCATGCAAGCGGCATTGATCGAGAAAATGATGAGCGTGCTCGGCGACGCAAATAGGAAGCCCTGCATCCACGAAAGCACGTTACAAACCATTTTAATAGCAAGAAAGAGATACAGCACCTCAATCTTGCCATAACGCTTGAATAATGTAAATCAGGATGCTTGTTGATAATTAAGCCAACCAAATTCTTCAGGGCACGTGAACACTCCTGGCTGCACATACCATTGGTAGCAAAAGCCAAGGGCGTGAATGCACCTCTCTTCACATGTATTACCCTCTGCAGGTATGCTCTCTTCTTCTGTTGCGCATTCCTGGCTAGCTGAGCAAGAACCTCCGCTCTCGACAGCAAGGACGCTGAAGGATGAGTCACCCTAACATCAAAGAATGCTTCTTGCTGCCGAGACCAGAAGCCCCTTGCGCAGATATCCAGACGAGCCTCCGGACGCCGGTTAGTCGTGGCACCAGGGAGCGCTTCACCCTCGAGTGGGAGCAGCGGAGGCTCAATCCGCACATCGGGGATGGCTGCATCCATGGCCTCGGCAATCAGGTCACGCAGAGCATTGTGCCGGAGAGTGGGGTACCCCCCAGTAGGGCACGTTGCCGCATGATCGACGCTGAGGCCCGCACCACACACGCACGAGCTTGGAATGTCCCGCAAGGGCCAGCCATATCGTAATGACAACGCGTCAACAAACTCCACCTTGTTAAGAATAGGAACTCCGTGGCATTGTGAGGTTTCAGTGACGAGAGTACATACATTGAATACAATAATTATTCCCGGCCTATTTAGAGCTCGTTGCTGTAATGATGAGGCCCTTATGACCGAAACAGCTTGCTGTCTATAGCATTGGGTATTATGCTCCTCGACATTCGTCTTGTTGAGCACTCTCGGTAGGCTGCTCCAGTGCTGCAACATTACGCATTGCCCGCTACTTTTCGTAGTTTGAGCATTCTGGCGCTAGAGCGACGAACTATCTTAATAGTAGCTGTACTGATGAGGCCTTTATGGCCGAAAACAGCTTGCTATCTACAGCATTGGGTGAATATCATTATGTAGACTCTACAGTGCAAGAGGCCCGCACAAAGGAAAGTAACTCGCAGTTTCGTGGTTCAACAACCAAGCAGTCACACCACGCAGCTGTTGTCTTCAGTGATGATGGGTTGTTGAACCAGGAATCTCCGAGTTACAACAAAAAGAGACCTCTGTAAAAATGTTCCTTTGTGTAGATCAACCTATTGCGTCTTTCCCTCTCTGCTCATCACGTGCATTGAGCAGTGACTGAACTATCCTACATGTACTGCCTCTGTACAAGACACGCATGAATACAAAGAGTCCTGCTTTCATCAGTGTATGCATACACACTTACACAGGAAGCAAACATCGTCTCCTACAATCATCATGATCTTGCACTGCCAACATCATCCGGCCGCAGACAGTACAATGTGTCGCTTGCACAGAGCACAAGCACTACTACTAGTGCTAGTAGTTCCTTTCTTCTTCTTCTTTCTAGCGTTCGAAATCACATACAGTAGCCATCAGATGCAGAACATGTTGTGCCACTCATGTTGTTGTTGTTGTTGTTGTTGTTGTTGTTGTTGTTGTTGTTGTTGTTGTTGTTGTTGTTGTTGTTGTTGTTGTTGTTGTTGTTGTTGTTGTTGTTGTTGTTGTTGTTGTTGTTGTTGTTGTTGTTGTTGTTGTTGTTGTTGTTGTTGTTGTTGTTGTTGTTGTTGTTGTTGTTGTTGTTGTTGTTGTTGTTGTTATTGTTGTTGTTGTTGTTGTTGTTGTTGTTGTTGTTGTTGTTGTTGTTGTTGTTGTTGTTGTTGTTGTTGTTGTTGTAGAAGTTTAATTAACGTCGCACCACAAACAGGCGATTTCGCCTCCTTTGATACTAGTCTTGTGGACGACAGAGGGAATGAGAGAGAGAGATGGGGGCGGGGGGCAGAAATACGGAGAGAGGAAGGGAAGAAAATAAATAAGTGAGTCAACCTCAGGGCTACACTAAAGCAGAAGTGGAATGGGAATATACTATATACAAAATAGCATCATACAATATTGCGAATCATGCAGGAGTGACTCCACCGACCTCGACGTCTCGGTTTCGTTGTCAATCCTCCGCGGCAAAATTATAAAGACCTACAAGTAAATCGTTTAAACAAGGGATGTATGTTAGGTGAAGAGAATAGACACAAAACTAGACACAAAACTAGGCACAAAACTAGGCAGAAATGAGGTTTACAGAGTTCGCGGCAACTCAGAGTGTCCTGCACAACGCAATCATCAGGTGACTTAATCAAGAGAATAGAAGAGTAAAGGAGAGTCATCATCATCATCATCAGCCCTTTCGCGTTGGCCTCGGCGTTAGCCTAGCCTTCGCTTGGGCCACACCCAATGTTAGACATGATACCAGAAGAGAAGGGGAGAAAAAGAGAAAAACCAAAACCAAAAACGAAAAAAGGGAAAAATATAGGTGAACAAACACTTGATCATACGCAAACTATTCAAAGACACTAACAATGCAACACGCTGGTGCAGCACCAGCACATTGCAAGTAGCCATAAGTAAGTAGACCTGTTCAGTGGTACACATATTTCTTGTCGATGATGTCATTAACCAGAGTAAGGAATAAAATAGAAAGAGAGAATAGAAAGAGAATTAGGGAGAGAGGGCATGAAGAGGGAGAATGAGAGTATCAAGGTGACCTTAGTAGCAGACACGGTACAATGGATGACTTGTGTTCTGAACTTGACCCTTCGTAGATCAAAATTTGCCGTACAGGTACCCAAAATGAACTATTATTCTGTTTAAGAAGCTGCGAATTCAGCGGTTCGCGACAATAATTAGAATGTTAGACGTCACCAGTGCACTTGTGCGGCGTACATGTACCGGTCCGGCAGACAGCACGAGTATGATTCTATGAACTCTCCCCATGCCATACATACCTGTACAGATGCACTGGAACTGTATTTCGCATGGTTTGGTTTGCTAGACCAAAGCCAAAGGTAGAGTCATAGCACACGATGTACTACAGTAACACTCACCCGTGCCCCACACGTGACATGGTGGGCCACGGCCAAGGGTCTGCTGCTAGCTGCGCAATTGTCGCCGTTTCAGTGCAAACAGAACTGAACCTTTACTTGGCTTGAACGAGCTCCAATGACGAGACTACAGTACAACAGTTACTACCCTTACATGTGTATGTAGACCACCCTTGGGTGGCTTCCGTCGAACTGCTTGAGGGCGTGAAGTGAGAACAAGCCTGACCGGGAACGTGTGATTATAGCAATTGCCAACTCTACGAGGATGATGAGAATCACTCTCCTCTCACAGAGCACTCCAGCCTCTGGTGTGCCTCAATTCTAGCTAGGCTTATGAACGCCCGCGAAAATTCCAATTTCTCTATCATCGCCTGCCATACGCGGGCATTCCGCGGACGGCCAATGGTATTTTGTCATCCACGGGCAAGTATAGCAATATTGAAGCGTTTGAATATCCTGCTCGGCCATTTTGACACTCTTTACGTCACTCCGCCCTATTACAGTGCATTCGCGAAGGTAGTAAGGACATAGTTTTGCCAGGGTTACGAGCGAGAAGCGGACGTTGTCCAGAAAGAGGAGAACAAGACGTGGCCCAACAAGACAGGCGAACGCTGCAGTACGCCTCTGCTTGAAACAGCGCTCATGATTGAGCGAGCTCCCGAGAACCAGTGAACACTTACGACCATGACTGCAAGAGCATGATGACTCTACACGTAGATGTCTTGCAGACGGTGTCCTATCACAGAGCAGTGAAGTTAGAGTTATCGAGAGAACGTTTGCACACAGTTTTACAAGACCATCACCCTTGCCTCGGAGTCGGCCTGAGTTCTGAGTTCCTGGCTATCAAGGCAAGAGCGGCGCAGGCTGCAATGTCGGTCGGGTTGACGTGAGAGAAAGTTCATCCTTGCCTAAACAAAACCTTGCACCTGGCCGGCATCACCTGATCACGGCATACCCAGGAAAGCACCGTAAGCGGATATTACATGTTTCCTTCACGAAATGGCTACTAAGGAGAAGAGCAAGGAGAATGAGCAGCTGCTGCAGCTGCTGCGCAAGGCCGACCTGGAAGCGTTCTCTGAGCCGTTGAGGCAGATCGGCGTACAGCGAGTTGCCCATCTGCAGGACATGCGTCCCGCCGACTTCACCGAGGTGGGGATGAGCCATCTAGAGCAGACCAGGCTGAAGCGTCACATGAAGGAGGAGAAGGGATGGAAGTGGTCAAGACTCAGCGAGAAGGTCAGTGAACGCGGTTTCGTGAAAGCCATGCACACACGCTAGCATAGACCAAACATGGCAGGCTCACAAAATCGTATGGAGCTGCATGATGTATTTAACAGCGTTAAAACTCTACTCTAGCTAGTAACATCGCGGTCAGCCGACTCTGACCTTACACGATTAGCACAAATTGACCATGAAACGTGCAGTGAAGAGAGTCGGTTAAGCTACTGCTGTTCCCCTGCGCTATGTTCGTCGCCGATCGTTCCTGATTTTTTCGTCTTAGGATCGCATTCTTCGTGTACTGCGCCCACACTCCATAGAAATCATAATAAAAATTGGGTGTGTGAATTTTTGGAAAGAAGATATCAGCAGATATCCGCGTAAATTCGACACTAAATTACATGTGCAAGTGAAAACGTGATAGGGGGAGTCCCCAGTTGTTTGTGACATCGTTATATTGGCGTTTGGGCACTATAGTATTTTACTGATCTAGTAAGCGATAAGGGTGACCGAATAATTCACAGGTACCGTGGCGAGGCATCGATCCTTCAGCTTCACATTATACCGGCAAGGCAAATTGTTTAGGTCTGCTCCAACCAATTTGTCATTGCATTTTAAAATAAAAGAGAGTTGTGTCTGCGTGTAGGGTAGAGGAAGATGGTTATGGGACGTAAATACCTCAACGTAGCACAAGCAGTGTCTATCTTCCTCCCTTGCCTCCGTAGTCCAAGGCCCAGTCCTTCCAGGCTTTGTCAAGTACGTCGCGGGCCTCACGTGGGGATATTCCTCGTACATAGTTTAGCCCTTGGTGGATAATTCCAGCAGAAGAATTGCCAGAATTGCCCCTGGTATTTTCCATGTATGTATGGTACATGGAAAAAGAAGAAGAGCAGAATTTGAGGAATTGCCTGCCATACGCTTTGTGTGGTTCTGCCAATTTCACTGCTTTTCGAGCAGAAGCTGCCAATACATGTATTTCGAGCGTTGTCGGCCAAGGAATTAGACCCTTGTACAGGTATGATAGCTTATGCTGACCTTTCATACAAACTTCCAGTCAACTTGCCCATCATGCTGGCGGCTTATACTGGGCATATAAACCTCATACAAACCCCATATACATGTAGACCGCCACCATAGAAACAGGAAGAAGTTGACTGTCAGTTTGTATGAAGGTCAGCATAAGTATAATACATCCCACTAGTAGGTCTACGCTTGTACGTGAAATATAAATTATAAACCATCATACAAACCTCGGCATCGCCTCGGTTTGTATGACGGTTTATATTTCACGTACAAGCGTACTGTTGGGTTGTATTATAATATATGATTGTAGCATTATCAAACGCCATGTTCAGCTGTACATGGTTGGCAATGGTGCAGCTCTAGCGAGCGTCTAAAACAACAACGGAGAAATGAGTATTTATACCTCGCAGGCCAGTCTTGCCACACAACAGTTGAGTCCCTCCTACTGAAGCACATTTCACTTTAGATACTGCAGAGTGAAGTGTTACTACTCAGTACTGACTGTTACTTGTTAGTACCGTTGAAAGTCGATCTCCTCAAGTGCATGTCAAACATGTGGCCCGTCGAGAGTCTGTCCTGAGTCGATCGAAATTATATCTAGCCCTGCTCACACATTTATGATATTGGCAATGCTCATTAGTGACGAGGCAAGGCACAAATATTTGCATGGAGATCCGGTTACAGATAATTACTTCCTTCAACTATTCCAGGTCTATCTTTAGATACTGCAATTCATTTTTTAGTGCGTGACATCAGTTTAGCAGCCTTCATAATTATGCATCTCAATATTTACTTCGAAGTACTCGCTGCCTGTATCACCCTGATGGAAAGTGAAGCAGAGCAGTTGATCCTCTGAGAGATGGAGTTCACTGTTCTTAGCCAGGATGCAGGTAACATGTTTACTTTTCCTGCGCCAGTACACATTTTCGCTGTGCGTCGATCTACCAAACGCTCACCCCCGCTCACAATCTCCCGGCATGCGCGATCATCTCATACGGAAGTCGATCTTCAGAGAAGCGCCGCGCTGGACTAGATTGCCGGATGTTCCCCAGCCGTATGGAGCGGATGACTCTCTGGTGGTTTGGATCTTGCCCATACACGCTTCAAGTTGTTTGCGTGAATGCGTGATGCGTGCCAAAATCATGCACCTCTTCGTCGTTCTTGTTCATGGTGAACTAGCCACGGTCGTGCTAAAAACAACTCTAGTCTAACCGATGAACCAAAGCACAGTGCTGGTCTGAGGATCGTAGATCTAGGCACATAGGTATGAAGAAACTTGCGGTGAAGGCCGGTGGACACCACCAGAACCCGCCACTAAAATACACTAGGCACACTCGGAGCTACACTGTACATAATCATTACAGTAACAATGACCCTTGACTTGTGGGAATACAGTGAGTGTACGGGCAGATCGGTGTAACGGGGTCACAATGGAGCCAAAACGAAGCGGTGCAGATCTACAATCAAGAGTTCATGTGGGGGTTATGAACTCTTGGTACAATGATGTACATGACTAGTCGACTGAATCTATGAATATGATACCCTCACTGCCTCAGGAAATTTAAAAGGAACAGTTCGAAAGCCATGGCAACGACCTTAGTTCATAAGTTCAATCTCAAATCGTCACATGCGTGCACCTGTAAACATGGTAAAGGCGGTAGACTATCTACAGTCTGTAGTCTGATTCAGCACAGATGCACACGCGGGCGATCGGTACAATGGCAATCATCACAGTTTCAGTTACTTGTGATTTTCCTTGATGGTTCCATGACAGACTGTAAAGTGTAAGTCAAACATAATCGGATAATGCCTGCACATGGTCATTCCATCAATTATTATTTTGTTTTTGATTCCTTCAGGTCCTGAAGAAGCCCAGCGGTACCAGTGACAAAGTCAGCGGAGGAGCGGCGGAGAAGCGCACTTCAGGTGGAGTGCCATCACCATTGGCAAGTGTACGCAATCGGAATCACGAGCACAGCGCACTGAACGCCCTCGCAGCCTGGAAGCCACAAAAGCCGAGCTGGACGATAGCTAGTAACTGCGCTTTCCGCGAGCGTCATCGCCATGGCCCAGTTGATAGGGCTGGTAGCGTGTATGAAGGCCTTCATCGCGTCTCACACGGGGAGGAGGTGAGGAGACAGAGTTACCAATTGAATCTAAAGGATAGAGATCTCTTCAATGTGCTAGTATGCAGCATGTTTCAAATAATTGCTCATCATACGCTCCATCATTTCCGTCGCAAATACAGTCGTGGCCAAAGAAATCCGACCCGCGGGTCGAAAGTAGCGCAATTCAATTACATCATACATGTTCCCAAAACTGATCCGAGGGCCGCAGGGGCCGCATGAGCCTTGGCGCTGCTTTCCGCACGTGGGTTGGATTTCTTCGGCCACAACTGTACTCGTACTTCACAATTTGTAGCCGTTCCTTCCCCAGATACCAGCCAATTCTAGACAGTAAGGTACAGTGTACTAGCAGCATGCTCACTCAGATCAAGATGCACTTTGGGTGATTATAAAATCCAGTTTCGGCTGGATTCAACCGCAAAAAAACGGTTTTGGAATAGAGGCTATGCGATCACATCCTCAGTTGAGATGCTTTGGCAAACTTGCGGCACAGAGAATCAGTCAGCAAAGCACTAGCAAACTCACGCTGAATACTCAAAGCGCCCATAAGCTGTCTGGCTGACTCACGGTGCATACATAGCACCCACAACAGGATCGGCGGAGGCAGTTTTTGATTGGTCTGGCCATATCCTAGCCTTTCACACGTTGTGTATGATATGGACTAAGGAGGGTAGACACATGACCTTTTTCATTAGTAATCACACATTGGCGGCCAAAGAGTTGGTCCGGTCATGGCCTGACCAACCGGATTGGTTCTGTCAGGCCTGCATATGCGTTGCCGCTGACTCGCCACCATGGCATCATTCGCTTTAACCTCGTTTGACTGTGTGGGTTGCAATCTCGCGCACTGTACACCGTGATGTGTACATCCAGTCCTAGTAATGTGAAACCAGGCCAAAAACAGTGAGCTCGCCTAACAATACGGGCGCTAGCTATTTGGCCAGGCCTTACATGATCACGGCTGGATTTACACATCACAAGGTATGATTTTCTGACCTCAAACGAGAATAGGATGAATTTCGTGGCCATTTTGTAGACTTTCACCAGAGGATAATCTAAAAAAAGGCCAGGCTTTCAACTTTTCATTGCTATTCAGGAAAACCCGATGCCCACCTTTTCTGACTGGACTGGAGCAGATAATCTGGTTCTACTTTTACTGCACCATGGCGTACAGGGTAGAGTATTGCTCAATTTTGAGAAGGCCCCTAGCTTGATTCCCAGTTCTGACACTCACGGTTTTCGCAGTAGCGGGGTCTTTTTTCGGCCAGACAAGAGCACACGACACTTGCAAACACCAGCATGAACAGTCCATCCGTAGCACTCCACAACAGCAAGTACATGTAGTTATTGCTGACAAGCTTGTTTTGTTCCATACGATAGTGCATGGGACTCATAGTTCGTTTTCGGTCAGATGGTTCCCACCATAGGACCCTGGAAAAGCACAAAATTGTGTGTTTCGCCGCCTACGGATGTGTAACGATGCAGTTGCTTCTTTGCTAGGCCGGTTGGATCTGCTGTGGAGAGCAACTGAGAGAAGAGCCATGTACAGTCATTATCAGTTAATGCGAATGCATTGCTACAGTTTATGCTTGCATGCCAGGTAGTGGTATTGGGAGTATTTATCTGATAATTAAAAAATGACCTTTACAGTAAAACCTGCCCTAGATGAAGTGTTTTTTATTTATTTTTTTATTATTTTATTGAAAAACCACAAACCTTCAGACATGTGAATGTGCACATGATATACAGTGTACATACGTATGTATCGAGAAGGCAGCACGGAAACGGCAGTGGTGGTGAGGCCTGGGCAGCTCGTCCGACCGTGTGGAGCGGAAACTGTCCTGATGTGACAGGATGATACTTGATCCAGGGATGCACGTTCGATCCACATCACGTTGGTGCATGAAAATGTGTCCGCTCAATACAGGATTCCGCTTGGTACAGGGTGCCGCTTGGTACAGAGTTCCGCTTGGTACAGGGTTCTGCTTGGTACAGGGTTCCGCTTGGTTCAGGGTTCCGCTTGGTACAGGGTTCCGCTTGGTACAGGGTTCCGTTTGGTACAGGGTTCCGCTTGGTACAGGGTTCCGCTTGGTACAGGGCTCCGCTTGGTACAGGGTTCCGCTTGGTACAGGGTTCCGCTTGGTACAGGGTTCCGCTTGGTACAGGGTTCCGCTTGGTACAGGGTTCCGCTTGGTACAGGGTTCCGCTTGGTACAGGGTTCCGCTTGGTACAGGGTTCCGCTTGGTACAGGGTTCCGCTTGGTACAGGGTTCCGCTTGGTACAGAGTTCCGCTTGGTACAGAGTTCCGCTTGGTACAGGGTTCCGGCAAACACAGGTTTCACCGTATTTGGATGGAAACTAGCGGGTTATCTAAATCACATTGTCAGCATCTATGGCTGAAGTACCAGCCTTATCCAACTGTTGACTTTGTTTTACTTCCTATTCTTGTCATCTTACTGCAGAGGCAAGTATATTTGTTGCAGCTGGAGCAGTCCAGGATCGAAGGACGAGAGTTCCGCAAGGAAATGGCGCTGCTTCACGGCCTCGAGCACCCGAATGTCATGCGGTTTCACGGCGTTGTATTTGACCAGCCTCCGTATTTGGTAAGTAGGATGTGCGTATTTCCATCTGAATTTCTTTCGTGGGAACTCAAATTTTGCTGCTCGTGTGTTTGTGTTAAGTGGCTTGTGCTGTACCAGGTACATGCAAGGTAAAAATTCGATAGGAAGTCAAAGCCGGTGTGTAAGGTGGATTGAAGTCGATTGGAGCCATGAACCTCCCCTTTTGTACGTGTTTTTTTCTTTTTTTCAATGGTTGGTCTCACCCTCCTCGATTCAATTGGCTGTCTTGACATGCTATGAGGTGAAAAAATAAATAAATAAAATAAATAAATAATCTGCTGTTGTTACCTGTGTACTGTGTACCAGGTGGTGGACATGTGTCACCGAGGAACTCTCTCCGAGGAGCTGGTGCTGCGAGGCTCGGCATTCCTGCTCATGGATCTGATGCAGCTGGCAGGGCAGGTCGCCGAGGGCATGAAGTACCTGGAAAGCAAAGGACTCGTGCACGGAGAGCTGAAGGGCTCCAATGTCCTGATGAAATCAGCCAAGCAGGTTTGTTCCGTTGATTAACGTTTGCAAGTACGTAGTCCAGTGGAAGTGAGTTCAAGATGTCTCCTTTTAAAGTGGTGGGAAGGTTGTATGATGACAAACGTATTAGTGTGCCAGGGTAATGTGGACCTGAAGAGTACCTGTGCCTCGGTATAATAATACTGGCACATGCGGCCCGGAACTGTGTAAATTTCAACCATACTTCTGACCCCTACAGGCACTTGGACCGCTAAAGTTGGATATCTAGTCCGTACTGCCTACATATTGGGTGGTATTCCTTTCTTCGAAGATGATGTGGATGTTTGAAAGACCCCGGAGTTGTCCAACACAAGGCAAGTTGTTGTAGTGCACATGGGCAGAGATTGACCAGTGATGGAGCTGCTTTTGTTTCTGAAATTTGAAAAATTGCCTTTCTCTTCGTGCGCAGTGTCAAGTGGCAAACTTTGCGCTGGCACAGCCGATGGCTTCTTTCTACCACGGTGAATATGATGACTACTCCCACCCAGCCGCTTCATCGTACAAATGGTGAGTTTCTGGCGAGGTGTTTGTTGATGGCGCATTACATCATCACAACTTGGATTTCACACACAACTAAAACTCAACATTGGCAAATCGTCCTGAAGTTGTCCTGAGTCATTGACATAGACTAAAACCAGCAGTTTTTCTCTGATGTACTTAGTTCCACATTTTCAGTGGTGTGTAATGGTTCTTAAATCCATTGCACTTGTGTACACAGGTGCAACATTGTTGCAAGAGTATATTCATTGCTCGGCAAAATGATTAGTGCGCTGGCCTTCTGTGTCGTTGTAGGCATGCTCCAGAGGTTATCAAGTCCAACCAGTACACGCATGCAGGTGATGTCTGGAGTTACGGTTGCCTGCTTTGGGAGATGACATCGCACGGGGAATCCCCTTGGCTCGGACTCAATGCCGTACAGGTAATGCATGTGTGCAAGGTAGTCAGATCTGTATGTTCTGCCTGAGCCATTTTATATATACCCCCCCCCCCCTTCCCCGCAACAAGTGTAGGTGGCGTGTTCACTAGCTTCACACTGATATTCGCAGGGTAGGGCCGTGCCAGTTGAGTATTACTACAAGTAGTAGGCCTCATGACTTCAGTAGTGGAAACAAATTTATGAGAACGCACCGGAGAGCGATCAAATTTAATTTCTCAGAGCCAGACCCTTAAACCGATCTCACCTAGCTAGAGTGTTCAAATGAAAAGTCGGTAAGGTACGCATAACGCGTTAACAACTACAACAAAGGCAGGACAGTCAATCTTGTGGATCACGACCTCGGGCATGAACACAACTCGCGAACAATAGCACAATAACGACACTTTTCTTGTGCACGATCGAGGGTTGTTATTAGAGAGGTTCTGCAAAACGAAAATTCGAACGAAGGTTCGTGACGGGCCTTGCGAAAACGTGTACGAATTTTCACACGAAATTTGTGTTCTGCGCATTTTTGTAGTTTGCACGCGCCAAGTGCACGTACGCCATGACCCGATCTCACGGAACCTCCCTCGAAAGTTCATTTCACTTTCCCTGCAAGTTTCGCGTCCAAAGTTGCGAAAGTTCGTGCAAAGCTTCTCACTTCATGACGTAGAGCGAAAGTCCGTACACATTTTTGCTCTGTAGAACCTCTCTAATCTCAAGGTTGACTGTGCTTTCCTAGCCAGTATACCCTTTCTCTGTTGCTCTTGTCCGCGTCCAGGTGGTGGCAGAGACAGACTTTCCGTGTCGGCGGCGACTGTCTAGACCTCGCCACTGTCCAATCGACCTGTTTGCACTGATGCACAAGTGCTGGTCACACGAGCCCAAGGACAGGCCGTTGTTTGCCGCCATTGACACGCTGACCAAGCAGGTGAGATGCTATGCAGTAATATAACACTGAAGTAGCACAATAACCCAATGTTGCACTATTCGCAGCTCCGCTATAGAGGTCATGCAATTACATCATTATTCATTTTGTTTGCATGAAGTGGCAAACTCAAAGCTGCTGGGCTAACCGTGTATGTTGTGATGCACAGCCTTAGATAGAATGGGATCAGCTGGAGTTGCTATGCAGTAATAAATAAGGAGGTAGTGTTGGAGGAAGTGTAGCGATGTGTTGATCCACTTTGTGGTGCGGCCATCTACTGTTGACACAATCTACATTGCTAGGTACTCTATGAAAACACTGCACCAACCAAGGAGGGAGAGGTTGCTTGGGTAGGAACTTCAAACATTCAAACGTTGCACCTGCTTAACTCAAACATACATTTGAGCCTTTCCAGAGAGACATTTTCCTTTTCTTCTGACCATTAGGCATCGGCTCCAGCTCTGCCACACCTTCCGAACTCCGACCAGCATGCTGCTTTCTCCCATTCACGTCGACATTACCAGCACCGATGTAGTGAAGTAGCAACACATGTGTATGCTGTCATGTGCATCACTGATAATTTGTTATCACTGCGGTGTTGTTATTACAGTGCACGCCCAGACAGCTGATAGCCTGTGAGACTATTGAACACTGCGGCGATAGGCAGTTACCTATTGAAGCCGGTGGACTGGTGACTGTTGTGGAAAGGTATTGTTCAGCTTTGTTTGGGGCGGTCGAATGTTTCATTGCCGATTGTACATAATGTCACGTTGTAAGCATGGTATCCGTTGGTGAGCTAGCTGATCTAGAAAATAAGCAGGAGAGGTGACTGTCTGTAATTTGTGTGTTTACATTCTGGTGTGCATGTTTGCTTCCTGTTGCTGCCGTTGTCCAGTGATCCGAAGTCTGACGTGTGGTTTGGACAGAACACCAATGGGCAGTTTGGCGAGTTTTCACCCAGTTGTATGACGTGCAGTGATGATATCGTCAACGGTAAGTACACGTGTATAATAGTATACCGGTTTATACCGGTCTCTGTACGGAATACTAGTATGCTACAGCATTGATTTAAAGTGGCATGATTCGCAATCTTTCTTCCATTTTTTGTGTATCTGAGAAGTAGAGATTTGGTACCTCGAGTGAAGTAGACCTGATCAAACAAAGCGGGTGAAAATTCCTTGCATAACGTGAACATGACAGATAGCGTGCTGCTCTATAAGTAAGTGCAGTACACATGAGAAGTCTAACCATTCACTCTCTACATGTATGTGTGTGTGTGCACGCACGCATGTGTGTATGTGTGTGTGTGTGTGCGCGCGCATGTGGGTGTGTGTGTGTGTGTGTGTGTGTGTGTATGTGTATTGTTGATATCCACTCCAGGTCAGCGGAACAGCTATTTGGCGCAGGACGCTGGGTAAGCCTTGCAGTAGAGCTCAACACGGAGCTCGTGACATGCTGATTGGCCCATGTGCCAATGCTTGTTTCAGCTGCGGAGAACTTCAGTGGTCATTGAGATAGTCTCTAAGTCTATTATGACATTCTAAAACCTGATGTACTTCGAATGATCTGAATTTTGATCAAATGTGGTAAGGAATGCTTAGCATATTATCCTTTGTTACGTATTTTTACTCGAGCAACTGTACACCTGATCCATTATGCGTGATGCAGGTCCAAACGCTCCTCTAGATCGTCTACAGTTGGAGATCCCAACATCAGCCAGCCGTATGATGTCAAGAAGCTACCTGTGGAACCCGATGTGCAACGGTTAGTTGCGTGTTGCTGCCATGCATTGCCATACATGACATTTCTCGTACTTCTCTCTTCCTGTTGCTAGTGTTGTACAAGCCCTCCTTCTAGTCTGTCTCATTTTGGCCCGAGCAGTCCTGGGGAGAAAATTACGAGGGTCGTCTTGAGTGTGTGACTCACGGATACTGTACACACGTACGTGGGTACTGTACATGCTTTGCGAAGAATGGCGCATTGCTTATCGTGAATAGACTGTATGTTAGTGCAAATAGATACAGTGAGCAGTTCATTGAGTACAGCATGGACAATGAGCTACACGTAACATGTTCAAGGACACATATAGACAGTGCCTATGGTGTACGTACTCAATGCCTAACTTGCTTTATTTATTGCGCTATAACATTCCCGTATCTCCACGGCAGACTCACGGTACGTTGGTTTTACTTGTTTGTTCATTGCTTGTAGACTAATCGAAGAGCTGACTGGCATGAAAGTGTCTCGGTCAGACCAGGTCAATGACCTTGCCATCTCAGCACCAGACAGATCAGGCGGTAGGTACTGAGCACACTACTGAGCACACTGCTGAGCAAGTAGTTAATAGCTTTTGTTGTGCATACTGTGCGCAGTATGAATGTGCGGTGCTCATATTTGTCCTGCAGTCACTGGAAGAAAGAATTTTTTTAGACCCTTTGCAATATGACCAAATTTGGGTAGAAAGTCTACCCGGCATACGTGCAGCGGAACCAGAATAGCCGACGTCATGTGACCCATTGACGCAGATAATAACTAGAGGTCAGAACTAAAATGGCCGACACTATGTGACCTATTGATGCAGGAAAAGACTGGAGGGTTGCAACCAACCCTTCCATTACTGACCCATGTGGTCATGTCCTACACAAGAACCGACGCTACATCCGTAGTGCGTAATTCGGCCGCAATATATCAGGCCCCAAAATCCCATAAGACCTTGCACTCTGGATATGAAATGTATACCAGTATGAAGCCCTAAGCAAATAATGGCAATGGTGTGTTGTACGGTAATCATACTCTTGGCGTTTGCAGGAAGATTACGTTGAAGCTGTTGCGGAAACGAAATAAAATGAAATATAATATGCTGTGCTTTGTTTTTGGTATGATGCTGCAGGACAAGGCAGCCCGCATCGGTCACTTACAACGACCGCGTCAACACCGACCAGCATAACGTCGTCATCCAGCCGACATCGCGTCATCTCCAACCGACAGCCGAAGCCGACGTCCAGATCGTACACGCCAGAGCTGGGATCGTCCATCGGCGTTGCCGCCACCACGTCCAAGCAGATTTCAGACATGTACCTGGCACAGATGGCGCTGACGGGGGGCAGTCATGACTCGTCGGCTCAGCAAAGCGTTCCCAGCAGTCCGGTGACGATAGTTCAGCGTAGCGCACTGTCACGGCGCATCACCGACCCGGTCATGGCCAAGCCGAACATACCCGCATCGGTGTTCCGCTTTCCGGACGTTGGTTCCGGCGGTCGGCACACACCGACGTCGCAACACGACGAACGGCCGACAGTCGTCGAAGTGTACGAGAGCGAGGAGGCTATATACGACGTGCCTAGAAATCGCCATCACAGCAGCAATGGCGCCGACTACGAGGACATAACCGCCCCGTCCCTGTCAGCGTCGGTACAGGGCGATACTAGTAGCGGTCTGTTGGATTCAGATTCGGGGTACAGCCCAAGCTGTGTGGACTCTCCGCTTGGTGAAGCAGCCCGCCAGAAAGCCTCGCAGCCAATAACCGACATGGCTGCAACCCAGGAAAGACAGACGTCGGACATGCAACTGCCAGTCTCGGCTGGAGCCAGCAATTTTCTCCGCTTGCCGCCCAGTGGTCGGGAGAAAGAGCCGCACTATCGCTCCCCGCGTGTCACTCCAGTGTCCGGCAACAAGCGAGTTCGAACGCCAAGTCTCCAGGGATCATCACCGCGTCAGAGTGTGCAGTCCGACATTCAAGAAGCCCGTGGATCTCCAGCGGGGGACAGCCGTCACTCTCGAGCAGCCAGCGAAACGAGCCAGCAAGGATCGGAGGCGGCCATTACGCCAGAGGAGGCAGGCTATCGCCGACCATCCGTTGGCAAACGGCCTCCGCCCGTGCCCGTTCGTGATCCTGAAACCGCTCTATCCAGGCCGGCACTGGAGCGAGCTGCCTCCGGGAACACGTTTGTCAAGCCGAGCACGTCGTCCAGCGACTGCGATAGTCCAGTTCCGGTCATTCAGGTTCACGAGCCACGCGCCGAGAGCACCAACTCGGAGTACAGCGGTGGCAGGACGGGCTCCGTCAGCAGCTCCAGCACTCTATCGCCCCCGCCACAGCAGCCCACCATGGAGCGCATACAGCGCGGCTGGCAGCGCATCTGCAAGCGCCAGAAGCTCATCACCAGCCGGCACAACCTGAGAGCCAGCGAGCGGCAGTACCGACCGGCGGCAGCCACAGCAGCCGTCATGCAGGTCACAGAGCCGCTTCAGCACGCGCCGCTCTCCAGGCAGAAGTCCAATCCGATGATGCGGCTCAACGTTGTGGACACGATTCCTCCGGCATACGAGAACACATTCCCAATGTCCACTCTACAGCGTGCAAAGTCAACGCCTAACTTTTTCGAGCTGGACCTCGACTGATAGGGCTCTACTTGCGTGGCTGAGAATGCCATCACACACTCTGTTCTGTAGGAATTCAATATGCTTCTCTGCCCCAGCCGATGGTGAACTGGATGTTAAAAAACACTTGTCAAGATCAGCCCAATTGATATGTTTATTCGCACAGATTTTCCGTGCACACTTCATGGCGGGGCTGCATTACTTTTAAAGCGTGTTGAGCACATGCGCCCTGAACACATGCGCCCTGAACACATGCGCCCTGAACACATGCGCCCTGAACACATGCGCCCTGAGCACATGCGCCCTGAACACATGCGCCCTGAGCACATGCGCCCTGAACACAAAGTTGAGGTATATATTTTATCTTGTGTCCCGAATGAGCACATGCATGCACACGCTGGAACGCATACGCTGGAATGCATACGCTGGAACGCATACGCTGGCACACACGCGCACACACACACACAGTGCACACATACTCTTTTCTTCCACGTGCAGGAATCAAGAAGAGTCTGAATGTTGGCGATTCATTTCTGTTTTCTTGGCACACAGTCTGTCTGTGCACGCAACACCTAGGTATCAGCAGCTTCCAAAAGCACTGGCTCAGCTAGCAAAGGCGTGTGCATAACATGCTACATGTACTGCAAGACTATTAGTGCAGCATGCAACAAAACATACCGTCTCTAAGGAGCTACGGGAAAGTAACCATCGACTGTGAATATTACACAAAATCGGAATCATGAGCTTGGTGAAGTGAGGGATGATGTCCTGCCTTGCCGGGCAGTGCTACAGAGCAGACACTGAGCGTGCACAGACATGTGATTCTTGAACGGAAGGATTGCAAGATTACCACCAGGGCAGTTTCGGGCGAGGTTATTCAGTTTCTAAGAAGTAAAGTGATTGCTGTGCCGGCAATAAACAATCGTGTTGTGCACCGTATTATAGACCAGCTATATTGTGCATGCTTGGGAGCTAGGAGATAACAAAATAAAATCGGAATTCTACACATCTACGTCTCTATTGGCATTCACAAGACGCTGTGAGGTAAAAAAAAAGTGAGTCAGCTCTATGGGCTCACAGCACGAATGGGAAGATCGCGGCGCGCGAAGCTGGATAGTTGTCAAACTTATCCTTGTAGTACTGATGCGTGTTCAAGGACACGTACGTCAGACTGGTAAACGCGACACCGAACACTAACCACCAGCTAGGATGCGCGCCGACAAGCATTCCGAACGCCAGGTAAATCACCAGCTCGGCCGTGTAATGTGCCGAGGAGGAGTAGTCGAACCAATCGCCGTGCGGAACGTAGTACTTGGTGTCCCCTGGCTTGCGTAGCGATCCGAGTATCCGGTGGCACATGTGCTGATGATAGGAGGCCCAGGCGAACAGTACTGTGGCTATCACGTAGCGGACCAGACTCAGAGTCGGTACACTGGGACATGATACAGGAGCATCTGAACCCAAGCAAAAGAATATAATAACTGAAACATCTTGCTGTATCTACATACCGTGAAAAGTTAGAATACGCCGACTGGAATGCAGATCACGTCCTGGTAGATTTTGAGAAAGGCACGAACGCATGTGCACACACACGTTCGTGCACACACGCATACGTGCACACACACGTACGTGCACACACGCACACACACTTGTACTTCCTCACTGCCAAAACTGGTTAAGTGGGTCTCCCTGGGAGAGGGGACTCGGGGGAGAGAGACTCAAAAGGAATCTGGCAAAGATGACTCAATTGGCTATTGAACCGCCCAATGGCCGACACCCCCTGAAATCCACAAAACTCTGGGCGGACTTGGTAATGATTCCATTTATGGGCTCACCACACCTCAGTAAGTGGGTGAGGACAAGGTACAGAAAAAAAAAGATTGACGGCATCAGAGTATTCTGTCCCGGGATCCAGCTGCAGTTAGTACCGGTTACCCTGGCCACAGAGGAGGTAATACTTGCGACTAGTGTGGATAGCCAAAAAAGAGTAGATCTGATTTGGGGATTTCTGGGGGTGTCGGACGTTGGGCAGTTCAATAGCCAATTGAGTCATCTTTCCAAGATTCCTTTTGAGTCTTTCTCCCCTCTTGCGGGAGACCCACGTGACTAGTTTTGGTAGTGAGCAAGTACAAGTACAGAACAGGTGCATGTGTGTGTGTGTGTGTGTGTGTGTGTGTGCTTGTGTGTGTGTGTGTGTGTGTGTGTGTGTGTGTGTGTGTGTGTGTGTGTGTGTGTGTGTGTGTGTGCGTGCAGCTTGTATCAAAAGACCCGTCGTGCTGATCCCATCGCCGCAGTCACCGAATCCCAATTCGCCGATGATTCGTTTCTCTTCGTGACTATGCAGCATGATGCATCGCTCTTGGTCACTTTTGATAGTGTTGCGGCTGAATATGGGTGAACGGTCAGCCCAACGAAGACCAAGTTTCTCGTAGCTGGTTCCCACGTCTCTGCAGAGGACTGTGCGCCTTTGTGGCCTGCATTTATAGATATTGAGTGCATCCCCGAATTCAAGTACCTGGGCTCCATCGCTGGAAGGACTTGTGCAGTATCCTGCATGAAGTCATTGAGAATGGCCTGGCGTGCAGACAAGACCTGACACCAAGCGCTGATGCCGAGTTTCTGATCCGCATCAGCCAGGGACATTTCCACAAGGAACGACATCTCATTCTCAAACCGAGCGAAGGAGGAGATGTGTCTGGCTTTGGCGATCTCTCGGAATCAGATGATTCCATTTTGTTACACATGATGATGGAGTCTGAAAGAACATACTTCCATCTATCTCAGTAGTTACGTAAGTTTTAAAAAGAGATATCCCGACGCATCCAAGGCGCATTCCAAGAGGCAGGAGACGTCGACATTCCGGCTTTTATCCGCATCGTGAATGTACTGAACTGCAGCACATGCATCCGCCTTTCCGACGAAGTATACAAAGGTGAACGTTTCAATTGAGTACATGGACGTGGCTGATGACGGTACTAGTAGCACTGAAGAACGCTACTTCGACGATGAATCCCGGGCAAAGCGTGTGCGTACTGAAACCAGCCTCAACAACTTAGACCCAATTGTCAAAATCATGATGGAGCCGAAGAGGAAGGTAGTCCGCATGGTCAGATAGTCGAATCACGATGGAGCCGAGGAACAAGGCACTTGAAGGTAGTCTGCATGAGTAGAAAGAGAATTTGGCGGTTGCCAAGTTCAGACATTTTCAAAAAACTCTATTTGTAAGTGTACTTGCTCTCCAAACACCTCTGGCAAAATAAAACCAACAACAAAGAGTACCAGCTGTCCTGGAGAATCATGGACAAGGCCAGTTCGGACAACCCCGCAACAAAGAGATGTTGCCTTTGCACCACGGAGAAAGTACACAGCCTCACTGCTGACAGGACGCAGATCATAAACAAGAGAAGCAAAATCATCGCCAAATGTCGCCATGCCAACAAACACCAGCTCGCCAAGTTCAACGGAATCACATAACAATGTGACACGGACAAAGCAGCATGGTGACCACTGGAACCAGACACACTGCACTATTATCGTTGTGTCAATGACTAACGCCAATATTGCGCCACATTGGACGTGCACCCCCTGACACCTGACAGGGATCAAGGCATGTGCTATCATCCCAAACCTTTGTTCAGCGCCGGTGTACTCAGGATTTACGCGCTCGATTCAGCGCCTGTTACAATTATGGACATTATTATACCATCTCCATCCATCAACCTCTCACCTTCACACTTCATGCTTTCCTTTTGTGCGCCTTGCTGTGTGGCTGTGTATATCTTTAGTGAACCTGACAGCCCTCCTTCAGTTAGATACGTTGCCTGATGATTGGTAACTCAAGAAACTCGGAGTAGCAACAGAATTTGTTTCCTTGGTGAGGACCGCTTCCATTGTGTGTACTAGCTGAAGTTCATCCCAGCACTGTTGAGCCCTCTTTGCGGTGGACGGGACCACTTCCCCTGTGTAAATAAATATACTATTATATACTTCATATATGTGCATGTGTGTGTGTGTGTGTGTGTGTGTGTGTGTGTGTGTGTGTGTGTGTGTGTGTGTGTGTGTGTGTGTGTGTGTGGGTGTGTGTGTGTGCGCGTATGTGTGTTTTGTCTCTCTCCCCTCTCCCGGGAGACCCATGTGACCAGTTTTGGCAGTGAGCAACAAGTACAAGTGTGTGTGTGTGTGTGTGTGTGTGTGTGCCGGATTATAGAGGGGCATTGTAATAGTATTTTTGCCTCGTACGAATACCATTTCTGGGGTCAATGCATGCTAGAGAGCAATTTACCACGGAAAAAAACAGCACTTCCCCTGGAAAGGTTTTCATGGCCAAAGTAGTTTGAGCTACCTAAAGAAATTTGTCATGATACTTTCAGCACCCCTCAGACTATAGCCCTGGATACGCACGCCCTTGATCAGGGTGAATTTTGTACACTGTCGCGTCACATGACCTTCCAAAGCAGACTGAAAAGGGCTATGCTACGCTACTGCAAACAGGTATGTGAGCTGAGCATATGCACAGATTAAAAAAAAATTTTAATACTCCGGCTGTAAAATTCTACACCCGCGCGCGCGCGCGCTGGGGGCGCGAAACATAGAAAAAACGGTGTGGCCTAAAGCGAGATTCACAGAAGCATTTTTGCGACGCGATGCGGGATGCGACGGCCACGAAACCGGGAAATCCCCAAGTCATAGCCATCTCGCAGCCCACGCAACTGCCGCAACTGGGTCATCGCAGAAGTTGAGCTTGGCTCAACTTTCGCGATGCAACAAGCGATTTGGCGTACGATTCGGACCTTTTCTACAGTAAAGTTGTACAAAGGTTCAAGAGCTGCCTGTAAATTTGTACAAGTTGTACCAAGCCACGCGATTACCATGGTGACGTACCCACCTATATTGAACTTTGTGCCAAATCCACAAGGCGGCCACGCATCGCTAACTTCTTCTGTAAATGGTATTTCACGAGTTCGCATCGCACGCCTCAGTCGCAGATCGCGTCGCATCGTCCAACCCATCTCAAAAAGCTTCTGTGCATCCCGCTTTACACAAAATTGACATTTCACTCACCTAGAGCGTACGGTGAGCCTTCAATCATTACCAGTTGAGCAAACACGTAAAATACTGCGCCGTACACAAACACATAGGTCTGCATTTTGGCGCGTGGAGAAGGGTGCATTACAAACAGCTCCTCGTACAGACGCCGGCTCGTCTACAAACAAAGCACCCACATCACCATACACATGTACACACACGCACACACATACGTGTACACACACAGACACACACACACACACACGTCTCTCACACACAGACACACACATGCACACACACACACACACACACGTCTCTCACACACAGACACACACACACACGTGTACACACACGCATGCACACATAGATTCAGACGCAAACACACACAAACACACACAAAGCCCGTCTGAATTTCGTACTACAATGGCAGACTGATCAGCGATCACCAAGCAGTCAACACCGATGTCAAATACACCACACGCCATACCTGCAGGAACATCAGACCCACACACACCAGGGCGTCCGACGAGCTGACAGAAGTCATCGTTGCGGTTGCTGGCTCGGCATCATGCGTGAACTCGGGAAAGCGGATGAGCCACTTGCCCAGCGCCAGGATCTTCGAATTGGATGTCTCATCACTGCCAAGGCAAACGCTCAAACATGAATAGAACAGCGCGGCTGACCACAGGCTGCCAATTATGTAGAACACTTTGAACCAGCTGCATAGAGGGCATAGAGAAGACAATGTAGAAAACAAATCATTAGGAAATTTTAAAGAGTCGGCGTGGAGAAAGCAATTTTATGAGTGCAATAAAAAGTATAATAGATGCAGACATAATAAAAATCCTTTAAAATTTCATTAACTCGTTGTTGTCTGGCCATGTCTGCATCTATTATACTCTTTAGGAAATTTTCTTTAAAATTGCGGATACTGTAAAGCGATAAACGTTCGCGGTGCGCAAAGTTTGCGTTTCATGAATTGGGCTGGTTCACGATGAGAAACTTTGGCGATTTTACCTCTTCATTCGGATCTGCTACTGTCTACAAACAATGTACATAGCAGTTTGCGGCGATTTATATTCGCGAATGTGCGATTTCTGAGTGAATGTGTGATGGAGTCGCGAAAATAGCGAAATTTAATCTCTAGCGAAAGTTTCTTACTTTGCAGTAGTAGTGTTTTGTCAGTCGTAACCTGAACAGCGCAGCAGGCTGATTCATGGAGACAATTACTCATTGCCATCCACTTCAAACACAGAACACATCAGTTTAGAGAGTAGGGGAATCCCCGGCAACCCCAGGCATACACACAGACAGACGGACGTATAGACAAACATACATGTGCACCCCCCCCCCCCCCCCCCACCCTGCACATGTGTGCCCTCACCCTCACACACTTGGCCATTCTACCAGGTCGGTCAGAATTCTTTCCCGTTCGCGTTGCAGCGTTCTGCCTTCGTCCAAAGCTTGTTGTGTTTCTCGCAACTAGAGCACCCTTATTTTGACACTTTGCGTCGATTTAAAATGCTTCACTGTTGTCTGAAAATAAAGACTCGATCGTGACCTTTCCAACCTATTGGTCTGAGCTCCACTGACAAGACTTGAGAAGGTTGGAACAGCAAGCACCGTATTTTCCGGAGTAAAAGAGGCACCCGGATTTTTTGTCATGAAATACAGACATCTACCCTGTATTTCACAGTTCATTTGACCATCGCAGTATAGAATGCACCGCACCGACTTTAAAGTGTTTAAAGTGCGGCTTATATTCCATAAGATACGGTACATGCAGCTGTCCAGATAGTGACTTTGGTTACATGTCTCTGCTTTTATCTCGTTGACTTCGAGTCCATTTTCCACCCTGTACTTCTTTGGGAGTGTAGTCTACAGGTGTTACCACTGTCACATACTCCGACCACATGGCTTGGCACACACGCACGGAGAATACAGTAGGTATTGGTTATAGCGTGGGTGTTTGAAAAACGACTTTCTATTCTTATTTCCGATATTTCTTACACACGATAAATCAAGTGTGACATATCATGTGCAAGTGCGCAGAGGCAGGAAGATCATCGTACATACAAGGTAGTGCTACTGTGCATGCGGCAGGTCACAGTCACATAGGCTTACCATGTGGCTATGCAACATGAGTTACATGACCACAATAGTTAAACATGCAGCACTACGACCCAACGCGAGTCAGATCAGAACTGCTTTGGACGGATGTTATTACTACAGGCGATATACTTTGTACTGATCTGGCATGTTTCGCTACACAAAGTCCATTCTTAGGACCGATATATTCTACTGTACGATAAACTTGCTTGTAAGAATAAATGTGCACATGAAATCCATGTTATGATTATGAAAACATGAGAGTTCATTCTTGTAGGCAGTATATTCTTTTACACGACCACGCTATAACCGGTACGCACTGTACATGTAGTGCCACGGTGTTGTTGCCGAAACTCCGGGTTTCACGCAAATAGCGATCATCGGACAGCACACTGTAATGCCAATGCCGTAGATTCAGGGTGCACAAGCATACAGGGGCGTAGCCCGCGTGGGGCAGGGGGGGGGGGGGGGGGGGGCGGCAAGTGCACCCCCCCCCCCCCCCCCCCTAAAAATTTCGACCTAGGTCCAGCATGCACGTAATGACCATGAATGACACGCACCGGCCATCCTACACATCCATGTACATGTACGTGGCCGTGCACCCCCTAAAGGAGGACCAGCTCCGCCCCCGGTTGTACGTATGGTCGTGACTGACATGACTTCACACACTGCTTATTGTGAAACTTCAGCGCAACATACTTCAACGTGACTTGTATGACCGAGGCACTCTATATCCAAAGTCAGCCAACGGGAAAAGCACCGGCAGGGTCCTCAGAGTACAGTCGACTCCACTTATAGCGAACTCGCATAATTATAGCGAATTTCACGATGTACCGTTGCCCATGTCCGTGTTTGAACCCATACAAAATTGACCTTCTGTAGTCAGCAGATTTCGTAATAATGAACCGTATCTTGCAAAGGCTGCATGTAAATCAACCGCACTAATACAGTCACAGGTCAGATACCAGCCGTGTGATCGTGTTGTTTGTGTTGAGTACGAATCGTGAACCTAACATTTGTATGGTGTAACTGTATTTCTGTAAAAGAAAGAACTTCGGCTATAAAGAAATAATTCTCCTGCACAATAGTGTTCGTTACATCAGGAGTCGACTACGTATTTATCTAATGTAAAACAGGATAAAGTATGGTATATCCAGGGCAAATTGTACTGACGTTTCACATCATTTTCAAATTAATCTCTTGAATATGTTCTCAGCGTATGCGGAATGTCTACATCGTCTCCATACTGTTCACGCACGATGCTAATTGTATTCAGAAAACATATCTTCACAAAGCTGCAGGACGACGATCAAATTTTCATTCAAACAGGATTTGCAGCAACTTCTCACCTTTTCGGAACGAAAAAGATGGGTATCACGTCGATTATCCGGTCCGGAAGATGCTTGCCATACGCAGCCGCAAACATGAGGAGCGTCGGTGTCTTTATCCATATCCCTCGACAAACAAGGAAAATTGTAAAGGCAACCAAGAAAGTCGCCCAGAAAGCATCCACCAACATTTTCGAAGTAAGTAAGTTGAAGTGCAAGGATTTTTCAAAATGCGAAATACTTGACTTGCAGTCGCAGGTGTGCACGTGCTGCACGCGGTTCTCGTGCTGCCGACGTCACGTGTGTCAGGGTCTTTCCCTCGCTAGCTAGCTGCGGGACTGGGCAATGCATGCTCTGTCGGAAATAAGACTGTCTAATACAATTGAGACTTGTAGTGTAGACTGCAATGCCATCATGGTCGACGTATTATTATTATTATTATTATTATTATTAAATTTTGAATAGGGCAGTCCCACAGGCCTAGGTATAACACCATAGGCAAAGTAAAATATCAAAAGACGTAATTGCTCTATCACTTGCTATCTTATTCAACACTTCCCTCTCGTCTGGTCAATTCCCATCCTTGTTCAAAATTGCAAACATTACACCAATTCTGAAGTCAACTCAAGGCCCCCGCGACTGCCCTTCTAACTACCGCCCAGTGTCTTTATTAACATCTATCCTAGCCAAGCTCCTGGAGGGGCTTGTGTTTTCTCGTATACATCTTTTTTTTAATGATCGTTGCCCATTCTATGTGGACCAGTTAGTTTGGCTTTCGGAAGCACCGTTCTACCGGACAGCTTCTCACCAAGGTTACGAACGACTGGCTTGTCTCGCGCGACGCTGGACTGCATACGGCGGTTGTCTGTATCGATTTGAAAAAAGCGTTCGATATGGTGAAGCATCAGCAGCTTCTTCTTGCTCTCGCAGCTGTCGGTATTTCGGGAGCGGCTCTGGCCTGGTTCCGATCATACCTTTGTGCCAGACAGCAGCGGGTGGTTACCCACACTGGAACATCTCCGTTGGTGGCAATCACTAGTGGCGTGCCACAGGGCACCATTCTGGGTCCGGTTCTATTTAACATATATGTACGGAAGCTCCCATTGACAGCAGAGGCCTTTTCTTGCAAGCTCCCGATGTTCGCTGACGACATGACGTTGTATGCCAGCAGACGTACACAAGCTGAGGCCGTCGCTACCGTTACTGATTCGTTATCTGCAATTTCTGTGGATCTAGACGAGCTTGGGCTGCGCATTAATACAACAAAGACTGTAACTTTGATGATTTCTAAGTCTTCTCAACCCCTCTCAACTCCAATCGTTTTTAACCAACAGCCTCTGACTCAAGTGTCTAGCACGAGAATCCTGGGAGTCATTGTAGACAGTGATGTTTCTTGGTCTGGTCACATAGACTTTATCGTTAGGAAGACTTGCACGAAAATTGGCGCTCTTCGACGGTGTTTTCGGCAACTAAGTTTGAAGGCAAAACGGCAGTTTATCCTCTCTGTTATCCTGCCTGACTTATTATACTGCTGCTCTTGCTTTGCAATGAAGCTATCCGCCAAGGACAGACAGCGACTCTCGTCCGTTTATCGTCGTTCTGTACGCGCTGCTTGTGGCTCGAAACTACAAGATGACGTCATGCCGCTGTTAGCTAGATTGTCGATTGATCCGTTTGAACATTACCTTATTCGTAGCATTGCTAAATTTATCCATGTTAATCATGTCGTTTTCCCTCTCCCAAATCTGACGGACCTTTTCCCTCAAGTTTCAACCGGCCCTAGGACAACAAGAAGCTCTTTTAATGCTGCTATTGCAATATCTAAATTCCGGACGACTGACGGTGTCAATTCCTTTTCAAATCGTGCTGCCCTGTTCTTTAATTCTTTGCCTGTGGAGTGGCGCACCCAGCACCGCACTACATTTGCTAAGCACCTTCAGACCATGCTAAAAGACGCAGCGCCTTTTCAGAAGTATTTTGATCTTCTTTTCAGCAAACTCCCTCATTGATCTGCGCCGCCTGTATTGTATAACTGTGTTTACTGCGTTCCTAGTTTAAATTCGTTTTTAAAAACATCTCTTTAATTCTTGCATTATTCCATTATGACCATGCTTAAAGACGCAGCGTCTTTTCAGAAGTATTTTGATCTTCTTTTCAGCAAACGGCCTCATTGATCTGCATCGCTTGTATTGTATACCTGTGTTTACTGCTTACTGCTTACTGCTGCTTTATTGTTCCAAGTATCAGTTTAGTTTAGTTTAAATATCTCTTATTATTATTATTTTTTCTCACCCCACACCCCTCTACTCTGTTATCGGCCCTCTTAAGAGTTGTGTTCATCACTGTTGAGGCTTGCGATGGAAAATAAAAGAATACTACTACTACTACTACTACTACTACTAAAGTAATAAGGAAGTTGTTTCAAATACCGTATATTCTCTATTATAAGCGCCGTGCTTATATTTTTTCAACACCCCTCTACCCCGTGCTTATATTGGAGACCGCGCTTATATTGGAGACCGTGCTTATATTTTTTCAACCAATGCATCCATACAGAGTGAGAAGAAATACATGCTAGATATCATGCATGCAGCATTGATTTCCACCAGGACCGGGCTAATAATAGAGACTGTGTTATAATGTTTCGAAAGGTGCTCACAGTGTGCTAGTATTAGAGACTGTGCTAGTAATGGAGACCTGTGCTTATAATAGAGAATATACGGTATTTATTCTCACAATAGCCAGTGGCCAATATAAGAGATTGGGTTTTTTCCTAGTTTTGAATTCTTTATTATTGTTGTTGTTGTTTCAAATCTTTATTCTCACGATAGCCAGTGGCCAATAAGAGATAATAGTGTAAGGGGTGGTCGCTACACGAGCCTACAGAGTTGTGCAACAGCAGGGATATCTGGGATTTGTTGTTGTTGTTGACGTTCCAATACGCTAGCGGCCTTTAAAGCTTTTCACACGTACATGTACATCGATAATCAGTGTCTGCTCCAGAGCCGGGTCACCGACTCGGTTGGGGAGGGGGGGGGGGGGGTGGTACTCGGACCCGTTTGGAAACAGAACACCGGGTACTTGTGACCAGGTTGGGAATACATGTCGGCAGGGAGTCCTAAAATGTAAAATGTAGATGTATACGGCTCCCTGATGTACATGTACATGTAAATGCAGGCGCAGAACGTACCTGGCTTTGACCCGGTTGAAAGGGTTGTGCCGGGTACATCTACATCTACACGTGTACCCGGTTAGTTTGAAATCATGGAGAAGACACTGGTACATACCGGTATACATGTATGTACAAAAGTCATGTCACGTGATATGTACTGTACCGTGATTTACAAAAAAATCAGTTTAGTGTACAGTACAGTGTATTATGTAAAATGCAAAAGCAAAAAATGAACACGCTCGTACCGGTACATGTTGCGATATGCAACAGGCGCTCAGGAAAGGGGCCGGGCAACATGCCAACAGAAAAAAAGCAAAGAAGAACAGAGTCGGAGGTATCACATAATTATTGCATCAGTTACAATTTTGTTACAGTTTTGTATTTATAGGGATTACAGGCCGGCAGAGGCTGGCTCCAGGCCTGTCGAGGGGTTCTCCAACTCAGACTAAATAATTTCATGTGCTCGGTAAAGAGTACACGCGTACGACGAAAGAAAACAAAGACAAGATGTAAATAAGTGATGAGGCGACAGCAGTTTCAAAACTGCGAACAAAAGGACGAGCTGAATAAACATGTGAAACGGTTTTTTTTGCAAAAAAATGTGAAAATAATGTAGAGAAACAATAAAATTAACGTGCTGGAAAATTTCAGAAATAAATATTGCGACAGAGCTTTCGGCCATATTTTCAATTCATTGCATTCCCAACTCATCACAACCACGCGCTCTTCAGCCGAACCATACAGACACCAGCAAGGACACTTCCGTTGAGAGATAATAATTATTGCTCCACGCCTCTAGACAGCTGTTTCGCTCCCTGTCGGAGCTCATCAGTAGAGGATGATAATGATGATAATGGAGGAATGATCATTCTTATACACCAGAAATGGCGCAAGTGCGCGCTTTCCACATAATATTATATCAATGGCATATGCAAGCTGCTAAAAATTAATGGTAAAGTGTGAGAACAGCGATAAATAATCATAGTACGCGCTCATTGGTGGAGAAACACACCACACAGGCGACGAAAATCTTACGCGGAATACTGATGCCAAAGGAAACTTCGGTACATGTATGTTGTTTATTATTATGATGTTGCAATGTCCATGTATGCAGGCCAGGCGAGACTCACCGCCGAGATCCCCCAACGCGACAGGCTCGGTTGCCGTTCAGGATTCACACCGACCTGTCCGCCCGTCAACAGGATCGACAGCGGGAGGCCCCACTGATGCCGATGTCGATGCACACCAGGAAACTTGTAGTCGTGAGTGTGATACTAACACGTCCATCGGCAACCACTGACAAACGAGAGGCCAGCTGGGGCATTCACTCCAGTCAGGGATGCTTGGTCGACGCTTCGTATCAGCAGCTCAGCTCATTTTGATCAAACAAAGATATTGCAGATGTGTCTTGCTTTTCTCCTTCCTTCTTCACCGACTCGTCTTGTCATCTCTCCTTCTTTCTTCACCGACTCTTCGTGTCCACTCTGCTCTGCCACTAACGGCGCATTAAAACTTCAGAAATAAATATTGCGACAGAGCTTTCGGCCATATTTTCAATTCATTGCATTCCCAACTCATCACAACCACGCGCTCTTCAGCCGAACCATACAGACACCAGTGCTGGAAAATGTGCTGGAAAATTAAGTTCCACATGTATTACGTAAGGGCCTGGTCAGACTGCGGCAAAATCGAAATAATCCTAGGATTATAATCCGAATCTCCATAGTAACTTGCCGCCAGAGCGGCAAAAGCGAGAGTTGACGCTCCAAAAAAAAAGCAAGAACGGACCACGCTTTTCCGCTCCAAACAGGATTTGACGCTGATACGCCATTGACGCTGATAATCACTGATTTTTTCATCTCGATATCGAGGAACTAATTGGCCACGGACAACAACAAAACTCATAAGGATGGTTGCAAGGATTGCACTGAAGGTGTTGGCGATCCCCAAGGTGAAGGAATTTGATTTCGTTCGTGGAGATTACCACTTGACGCTCGAAATGAAGTTTGAATTTTCACTCTCCCCACATGTGTAGTGTGATCGCGATTCAAATTCTGGACGCTGTTCTTTTTTCGTCAGGCAACCAAAATTTGCCGCAGTCTGACCAGGCCCTAAGGGGCCGTCCGTAAATATCGATGTTTTTTTAGAGACGATATTGGTGCGTCTGGGGGGGGGGGGGGGGGGGGGGGGGGAGGGGGTTTGAGCCATGTGCGTCTTTTCGAGCATCAGAAAAATATCGATGTAACTAGTGAGGTTTTGCATTCCGAAATTCGGCAAAAAGATTCGGCACGCGGGAGCGAGGTCGAAAATGCACACGAAGATTCGGCATGTTTGTTCGGAAAAAGCTCACTTTGCCGAAAATATTTTTCGGATGAATTTTCTTGTAGAAGAGCGCTAGCACGTGATTTATTCAAAGAGGTTTCTTATCTCGGCATCGCTTCGCCTCCGTCTTTGGCGACATCAGCATCGTCAGCTACCTCTGATTGCTCCTCTCCACTGCCTGTCTACTCTCTTTCGCCTGGAGTATCCTCACCGTCATCTGTGTGGCTGAAAAGACTATGGCGATACGCATAAAATTTGACTTGGCCATGGAGTTGGTTTTTCTGAGGCGACTGGGGAGGCAGGTTTGGCCCTCGACTCTTTGGGCGATCAAAGTTCGTTGAAATCAGCAAGAAAAGGAGCACGGGACAGGACATTGCTGATGCTGGGGCTCACGAAATGAAAACACATCATTTTCGACTTGCAAAACAAACGTTGGTGCGAAAATTCGGCATTTTGATGTTCGACAAATGACCGAAGAACGCCGAACCGAAATTCGGAATGCAAAACCTCACTAATATCTGAAGTTTCGCCGATCCCTGCACGCGGACGTCTAAATGGCTATACAAGAAATGTGAAACCAGCTTCCGTTCGCGGAGCTAAAACTCGCGACACAAGAACAAAATCAAAAATTGGAAGCTGTACGCCCATGGCGAATTTCAAGAGCAAAAGAATGAGCTATTGATTGTGGAAATCGGCCGAACGATGCCTGCAGGAGACCTTTCTCAAGACGTAGAGGCAGTGCGAACAAACACGGACGAACTCCACAAGAGTTTCCAGTCTTCACTGTCTGAACAAGGTTAGGATTTGAAAAAATTCAAGCCCGAGCGTAGCCGCTTTGGCTACACCAGTGCACGATGAGTTGCACTTTGAACGCTTTTTGTACGATGAGTTGTACTGCACTGCACGGGTACCGTAGCACTAGCGCGCCAGCGCCCTAATCTTTTCATGTAAAATGGAGAAAAAAATGAGCATCCAAAAATATTGATTCCATGATCTAGATGTACATGTGCGTCTTCTGGGGGGAGGGGGGGGGGGGGTCAAGGGAGAGAAGCACCAATATCGTCTCTAAAAAAACATCGATATTTACGGACGGCCCCTAACTACACTACAGTGTAGGTTTCGCACAACTCTCATCACCTGGAAGAATACCGGTATGCTGACCAAACAAACCACACAAAGTTCAAGTACAGTATTGTATGGTTTCAACGGTTTGGCTACAATACATGTACATGTACATGTATGTTCTCTTATCCATGTTGTCGATGTTTTACATTAATTTTATCCTGTAACTGTTAGCGCTTTTTCGGTTTTGGTTGTGCTCATTCAATTGGTACTCTTTATTACTAGTTGTTAGCGTCGCTTCGTTACAGGCGTTATTTCTCGTCCGTTTTTTTATTACTTTTTTGAATTTCACCATAATAGTTCCCTAGCCCTGCCACACTTGTGTTCTTCAGGACAACGTATTCATTGCTGATGAGAGTTGTGCGAAAATAACGTACATGTACAGTGTTGATCAATGAAATCCAGTAGTCGCGTCACCGTCAAGTACGCGCTGGGCGTTGCGCGGCCCTAGACCTGCGAACACTGGCCTGCGAAATGATACAAGGCGAACACTTTAGTGACGTGACTGGCACCGACTGGATTTCATTGAACAGCACTGTTGTTAGAAGTTATTTCATGATTGTCCAGTACACCATGGTACACTTATTTTCACATTTTTTTGCAGCCTAGCAGTAAAATAAAGCCGTTTCACATGTCAGTTCAGCTCGTCCTGTTGTTTGCAATTTTGAAACAAAGAAAAGAATTCAAGCATATCAGTACCATTGTGAAATAACCATGATAACAAGCACATCTCAACATTATGAAGCTGAAACAAGGTACGTGTCCAAGGCATCTATATAATGTATGCACCGTTACATCGTTACTGCCCAACCTGAGCGCGCCCTCTTGTTCGCTTCTCGTACTCTGCTTCACCCTTCACTGAGCAGTTACTACTACTAGTCGTTGCGGGATCAGCAGAGTGGCTAGGGCCAGGACTAGGCAGTAGGGGTGACTGGCCATGGAAATCCGTGCCCCTTGATTCAGGGTCTTTCAAGTACAGTGCTGCTACTAGTTCTGATCTGCCGGATGCTCATTATTTCATCGAGTCATAAAGTAACATAGTTTGTGAATGCGATCGACGCGAGCATGCGAGGATCTACATTACAATTGTAGGAACATGTTTTAGTGTTACCGCAGGCGGCAGATCCATGCAGCTCGTAGTCGTAGGCACAATTACTACAACAATCTCTGCATGCAGGCCCGAGCCGAGGTCTGCAAACCCATCGGGCAAACACATCTACATTCAGACTACATGTACAATGAGTCGAATGACGACTGTCTGTAAATTTTACTCATTTACCGCTAGCACAGAGGTTTTTTTATGCTAGCACCGGCCGAAGCAAATGGTACTCGTACTTCGTAGATAGAGAGCTACATGACATAATCATTGTAATCATTTTAGATCTATGCGAATATGGTAGGGTAGGTAGACACATGCTGAGGATCTAGTATCCGTTCTAGGACAACTGAAGCCATCTGACTGCTACGGCCCTCGTGCCACCCTCCGACTCCGAGGCTGGGTCGCGCGACTCACACCGTCTCACTCTAGTCTCTAGCTCTCACAGTCTCAGTTTCGCCAAGCTAGTGCTTCGCGCGTGACAGGCTGGCTACAGCTCAGACTGCAGGAGTAGGAAAATGTTTGATTCTGCCTGTGCAGTTTTCCTGTGCCAAACGATCATAGTCTTGAGCTGGTATTGAGGCCGAGTCACTGGAAGGAGAAGGAGATTTGGAGACCCGCTTCAAGGGGCCCATCTCTACTTGTGAGCTAGCCCTTACCAGTTGGAAGCTGTCCTAGGCGATAGGCGCTGGAAAGTAGCTGGACGATCAGCTGCATCACAAATTGGTTGCGGTGTGCAGATCGAGGGCTCAACACTTTGCAATTTGACTTACGGTTGGCTCCTTTTCGGTGAGCAGCGATTGGCAGGAGAACACATTGGACTTCGTTGTGCGCGTCACCTTGCGCTGTGCTCACTCGTCCGTTGATAGCGCTAGCAGCGTTTGCACCCTGTGGACCTACGCTGGTTAGCTTCAACTAGTAGATCTACTGGCACGAGCACACGCAGCGCAATAGGTGCCAAAGTAGTGTTGAAAATTGTTCCTCTGGGCAGCAGAAGCAATCGCTAATTGCATATATCCAGATCGAACATCATCGAGGAGCGAAGATGTCCTACAATTTCGTCGATCACTTCTGGGTAAGTACCTGTGCACCATGCAGCGTGTACCATAATCATGGTAGCGAGAATTATTGTACTGTACAAATCAATAATAATTTTTATCGTCGTTCTAAGCATGAGGGCCAAGATTAGTATTTCAGTACTGGCACTCGATTTCGTAGTGTTTGTTACGACAGTGTGAGTTAGCGATCCGTTGTATTGATTGAGCTGCTATTCAGAGTACAACTCGTGCCCAAACAAAGCCGAGATTGTTTATGAATGTCCGGTGGCGTTTCCACTTTGGTCGAGTAAAACAGGGGCTCGTGATTCCGTGTTTTGTTTGATCAGTCAGTCTTGGCGGCACGAGCATCATATTCAAACTGCGTATGCACAGGCTGTACAATACAGCACAGTACTAGGACCTGTCAGTCAGTCTTTACTCAAAATGTTGCCCTCTCTGGCTGATTGATTGACTGTGATAAGGGCTGGCTCTAAACTACTAGTACCGATTTGTGCAAGAACTTAATAAAGTCTTTACTAGTAGTTGGTTCTGCCTTCTGGTGAAGCACAAACTTGTCTTGATAGTGTTGGCGTCAGCTCCTGAGCTAGGCACACAATTTGTTAGATGTCAGCAAATGATTGCCAGAACCGTTCCTGAAGTACCTATTTTACCTGATTATGGTAACTCAAAATGAATTGTCCCAACTCAAGCAAATGCGAAAAGATGTTTCCAGTCTGAGTAGAAGGTCCCACGAAACTAGACACCGTAATCCTCCCCGTTATGCGTATTGCACAACAAACAATATTAATATGTAACAATGTTGATAGGGCTCGAAACTTCAAGGAGTCGAAAGCTCTACGTCATAGACACACCGTGAAGATTGGCATGCCACGCACACGTGAAAGCAGAAATCAATTTAAAGACTGGGCATGATTTGTATTGTTTATTGTACATGGTGAAGAAAAGAAAAGCAAGTGATTGTAATGGGAGGGATGCATGTCAAGTTTGATGATCATAATTTGCAGCTGCTATACTGGCTGTTTCCCTCAAGTACATCACTGAGTGCACAGATATGCACCCATGCTCGTGAGCACAGACACATCCAAACACGCACATGCGTTCAAACACACACACACACACACACACACACACACACACACACACACACACACACACACACACACACACACACACACACACATACACCACACACCACACACACACACACACACACGCACGCACATACACACACACACACACACACACACACACACACACACACACAAGCACACATAAGCACACACAAACACGTGCATGCATACAGGCCATGTACGGACCATGTACGCCCGTCACAAGACAGTGCTGTGGCTGCTCATGTGTGACACCCTTTGGTTTCCTCAAGGCAGCAGCGATAGGGGACATGCTCTGAATGCTAACATGTAGATCAAGACTGGCATCACAGTAATCAATTCATATAGGCAGTGAGGCTTGCTTGAGTTGGCCATGATGCACAGATGGCCAACATCAGATGGAGCATGCCCCCCCCCCCCCCCACAACACATACACGCAAATACACTCATACACAGCCAGATTGTTGAGAGCACAGTGTGCTCAATGGTGAACTGAATCTGCGCCGATGGGCCAGTTGTAATTCACTCGTTGAGGTCACTACTCTGTTGTCTGCATCTCCGACACTGAGTTGAGCTGGGCTCTGCTTGTATCGCATTCTCTATGATCTCTCAGCTTGGAAAGGCTTTACTCACGCGCATGCAGGTGCAGGCGATCTCTAGGCGAGGAACAGCAGCGGAACCCTGTGTTGCACAATAGTATTATGCTTATTGTGTCAATGCATATTGTACGCAATCTGTCACATATTATTAATATTATCTTCGAATATGATTTCTATAGGAAATGTGTTTGCTCCCCACACCGGAGTTCGCGCTATGCTATGCAATGTGCAAAGTCATGTCGGCGGAAAAGCGCGAGCTCCGGTGTGGGGAGCAAACATATTTCCTATGTAATCATCACCAAAGTCGCTACAACATTTTTTTAAAATTTTCTTTCATTTTTTATGAAAGTGCACATGCCTACATAGAATGGAAGAGAACAACAACAACAACAACAACAACAACAACAACAACAACAGCAGCAACAACAACAACAACAACAACAACAACAACAACAACAACAACAACAACAACAACAACAACAACAACAACAACAACAACAACAGCAAGAGAACATAGGGGACGACAAAGGGAGTGTAGGTGCTATAAAAGCTGTATCTCCGATTATGATGTCTCTCTTCCCCCCCCCCCCCCCCCCTCTCTCTAACAGGAACTGGACTTCACAGGTGTGACTGGATATGATGTCCTGGTCAAGCGGCTCAAGGATGGCAAGAAGATGACGCAGGACTTCGAGGACTTTATACGTGCTCGGTAAGCTGCACTGGAATCCTTCTTGCCCGTGACTTTGATCAATGGTCGGGCCGGCCGGAACCGGTCCGGTCGGTCAGGTCATCACCCCACCAACGTGTTGGCCAGCAAGGCATGTCTACTGCTGAGAAGGCTACGAATACACGGCACGGAAGACTATGGTATGATGGGACCAATCAAAACCTGCGTCCGGCGGTCCTGATGGTGCTTGCTGTTCAAAGCCATTTGCAGGCGATGAGCTTTGCAACGGGAGAATTTCACACGTGACGCGGCAAAGCCATGCACCCTTCCTGCACTGGACGCATGTCACGTACAGGGTTGTGCTGTTGTGCCATTGTTTCGATAGATTAAAACAAACCCTGTCGCATGGACTTCAGAAACGTGCGTGCAACTTTATTTACACGTACCTCTATAGTAACTATCCTGTATGGAGTGGTGTCTGCGGCACTTGTTTGCCAATCTTTACAAAGAAATTGCAGTGATGATCGTGGACAACGTGAAGCCCTGAGTTGCAACATACACTCGACTTCGCTATTGACGACTGCGGATAAAACGACAATTCACGAACAACGACAGAATTTCCATGCCCAGAGCAAAGTCCCACCCTGAGTTGCAACGTACGGTGCTGGCAACTACAATGCGACCCCTGAGCGGTGCGCTCACATCGCAAAGACCCACCACAGGATTGTAACGCTACGAAACAGAGGCCGCTAGAATGTGAACGCACCGCTCAGGGGTCGGATTTCAGTTGCCAGCACTGTACATGTAGCTTCTCCCTTCCCTCTACTGCCTGTATTATCTCAGCTAGTGCAGGAGCATAGCATCCTCTGTGTGTAGGGAATCTCCACACAAAAGGCGGAATACATGAATACCTGGTGTTGTAGTCTAACTACAAGTACCTGTTTGTGCTGTTCTGTGTGGCATTACCGGTTGGTGATTTGTTCAGGGCAAAGCTGGAGGAAACTTACTCCAAGGAGTTAATGAAGCTGGTGAAGAACTCGCACGGGGAAACAGAGATTGGGTGAGTTGATTGTGAGGGTGTTGTTATTTTGCGCAGCCACTGGTGCTTTTGTGAACATGTTAGTATGTGACTATGAGGCATTTATGTGATGTAATTACGGCGTGCAGACAGACAGACCGACACACACACACACACAGACACACACACACACACCCGCACGCACGCACACGCACACACACACACACACACACACACACACACATGCACACATCGTACACGCTTCGCTGGTATCTAATGGAATTATGCATGATGTGCTAGTGTACAATGCATGTGTACGCGCAGGCTTTGGTCTTTGCACAGGCACGTGCATGCGTGTGTGTGTAAGGGAGAAAAAAAGAACAAAACTCACACACACATGCATGCCATGAGTACGATATTATTATTATCAAGAGTAGATAAACAAGAGTGTGCAAGTCGCGGATGGGTTGGCCCACGGCGGAATTTTTTGTTGACGTAATCTTTTCGACGACGCACGCGCTATGAGTCTTTCGGAAAGTTTTCCCTCGTGCACTTGGCCCGATTTGCACTACAAAGTCGGTGCCCAGCACGTGCTCTCACACTGCTCTGCAGCAAAATGCGCGTTCTTCTGAAAAAAGGTGACGTCAACAAAAAATTCCGCCGTGGGCGGGGGTATCTGCAGATTGTGCAGGAGAGATCCGGAGTTGCACACTCTTGTTTATCTACTCTTGTTATTATGTATGAATGAGCATGCAAGAGAATGTACAAGTGTGCGTTGTACTGAATAGGGTACATTTTTTGAATGAGTATAGTCAAATATACGGTTAAAAAAGAGTCCGCAGGATTGCCATGGCTTATAGGTTATAACCGGTTAACCGACCGTTAGCTTAGCAGTTAACCGTCAGGGGTAAAACCGTGACCGTTTGAGCCCTAAACATAGTACTTGTGCCCAGTATGAAACAATGAAAAAAATGAATAATGGTGAAGTGAAAATGTGTTTTCTTCCCAATATGGTTTCATTATGTGTGGGTGTTTGACTCGTCAAGTAATCAAACATGTGAATCTGGCTATAATTCTTCTCTCCGTTCTGCTCGGTTCTTGCGCAGATCTCTTAGAGCATCATGGGACTGTCTAAAGTCTGGTAAGACACGGAGTTTGTAAAATATTTGCTCTTCTCAGGATTGGTAATACGAACGCTATCCGTAGTATTGAAACCAGCATGCATGCACTGGTGACAAGTGCCACTAGCTGGTGTTCACTGTTTATGGTGCTAGAGCCAGTGCAGTGCAGCAGTCTAGTGGAGAGAGTAGATTTCCCGGCTTAGTATGACCTGCACGTATACTGTAAGACCAGATATTTTAACGTCAATTAAAATTAACGATCTCCGGATTTTGTGGGTTAACGAGGTCAAATTCTAACGAATTCTGTCTCAAAATCGGCAAATAACTGTACATGTACATATCATGTTGCACATAACGACTTCAAATGTTAACGATTCCTTCGAATTCGTCAACTCGTTAGAATTAAATGTTCGTTAACATTACTGGTCGTACAGTAGCTAGTAATGTCACTTCACTGCTAGTCACGGTCATGTGATCCGATAATGCTATCATGTTGTGTGATAGATAATGTCATGTGACCATATCATGCGGTCATACCATGTGATTATGCACGGTGCCGGGTTATGCTGTTTGCACCACCGTGTGTGCAGAAACGGAAGCATGCAGTCGTGAGCACTTGTCAGTGTCGCAACGGCTGAACAATGAACTGGAGAAGAGCACCAAAGAGTTTCGGGAGAAGCAGCGCGACACCAGGAAGAAGGTTGGTACTACTCACATGCTGCGTTTACACGATCTTTTGCTCGAGGATACGTTCTAAACCAGTGGTAGCAATCGACTTATGGCCTTTGTCACTTGCCATCATTAGCTACCATTCCTAAGCCTTGGCAATACGGTAGTGAATATACCCAGCAGCATTTTTGGACAAAATTTGGAAGTGAGTTGGAATCTTGCCCTCCCCAGTCTGAGTAATTCCTCTGCTAAATGCCACGGTGTTGAGACCTTTGTTTGTAATCTGCTTGCAGCCTCTACTTTAGTTTAAAAGCATATCATTACCCTCACTTGTCTCAGATTGAAGGAACTGGGAATGGTCCATTGCACGGTTCGTTTTCCCCGGGACAGTCTACACGGTCCAGTCTTGTTAGCTGCTGTTTATTTTTATTTCTGTTTCTATGTTTTGTTTTCCTAGGCTGAAGAAACGGTCAAGAGAGCCCAGGGTTTCAAGAAGAGCTCGTATCAATCGGAGACCAAGGTCAGTGACTGTGTATGATGATCCAAGGCTTCGAACAATCCAGCTCACCGTTCCCTACATAAAATATCCTGCTCCTACTCGGAACCATGGCCACCACCACCACACCAAGTGTCCTCAAGCTTCACTCTTTTGTTCCGGATCTTATTATGCATGATTAGACCTGCTCTAGATCATCCTATGGTGTGCCACAACTTACCAGTATATATAACAAATTCTGCTCAGGGCACGGTCCATTTTCATCAACTTGTACTTTGATATTCCTATGCATTTCTTGGTTGTACTTCATATGAAGGGCTCCAATTCAAAACGCGATAAAGACCAAACCGGAGCTTTTGCGTTTTTTTGTCACGAAAGAATTCGTTTTCACCTCACGGACGACTGTGTGTCGGTTTACGGGTGTGCAGTGCAGACCTAAAAAGAACAAACGAAAAAAATGGACTTCCTGAAATTTCCACGAAATGGATTTATCTCGTTTTAATTGGAGCCCTTCATATGCTCATCTCTTATGTGCCTGCAGGCTAAGCAAGAGTATCATTCCAAGTGCCGTGCTGCGGACAAGGCCGAGGAAGTCGCCAGCAAGTCCGGCCATTTGCAGCCGAAAAAAATTGAAGAGGTACGCTAGGCAAGAGGAGCTCCCAAGGTGTTCACTCTCGTTTGAAAATATCATTCGCAGTATCTGTGTTGTCTGACTGCCTCAGACCTTCTCTCTACTGTACTGCGCATACGTATAGTATAATTCTGTGTATTTGGTTAGGAATGTGTGAGTGCAAGATCAGTGCCGTGATGTATAACTGCATGCATCCGCAACAACAATATTTGCGGCATATCTGATGTTTGTACGTTTCGATCAATATGCGGGTGCATCCAGGATTTAAAGCTGACAATGTATAGCCTGTTTTTTGTCAACTTGTACAGCTGAAAATGAAGGCGAAGAAAGCGAGGCAAGCATCTGAACTAGCTGATCAGAGCTACCAGGAAGCCGTCAAGAATCTCGACGAGGCCAGGTTACTGTGGGAGCGAGAAATGGAGGTGGCGTGCAAGGTTGGACGGATTTATGGATTTCAAGTTTCGGTTAAAATGGGTCAGGAGCACTGGGGTTGAATGAGAGATGGGGAGTTGTGTTGTGGAATTTTTATTATTATCCTGTCATTGTTAGTTAGCCCACTGAACCTGTCCTGGGTGAAGAATTCTGCGGGGAATTGGGACAGAATCTCAAGGGATATATACTCAGATTTCATTATGGCATTGAAAAGGATTCGAGTGAGGTGTGATTGTCTTTAGCCGACAAGGCTCTGTATACACTATTGCTGGCCTGGTGCACATCTCGGCGGTGACATCACCCCCCCCCCCCCCCTATACACACACCCAAACACAACAGACTTGCAAATGTGTGAGTACCATAGTGGTCGTGCCTTGTGGTATGAAGTTGGGTGTTGCTTTTCCGTTATGTTTCCGCGGCAACTTTAGTTTGGAGGGAAGTCCATTGGCGGTCAGATGTAGTAGCCTGGTGATCACCAGCTCTGTAATAAGAACATGCTCTTCCATTGGTTGGCTGTCTGTAGGTATTTCAAGACTTGGAGGAGGAGCGAGTGTTGTTCCTGCGGCAAATGATGTGGAAACACTGCAATGTCTATTCATCTTTAGCGGTCCGAGATGACGAGGTATGTGTGCCCGGCCCTAGTGCATAGATCGACCGACGTACCATCCAGAGTGCATGAGTCGCAAGTGTATTGAACTGCACATGTATTAGCCTCTATCTTGTTAAGAGATTTTGTAGCGTGCTGTCAACATTTAGCTTATTCTTATATTGGATAGTTAGCCGGTATCAAATGTGAAATAGAAGAAAACATATGGGAACGAGTTATGAAGCAACTATCCACGACTGTAACAAGATAATCTATTCTGACTGCTTATTATCTTGTTACAATCGTGGATAGTTGCTTCATAACTAATTCCCATTTTGTTTTCCTTTATTCTTATCTCATAGTGCTTTTCGTTCCCTCAACTGTTACACTGTATCACAAGTCGTTCTTGTCGCCCTGTTACATGTGTCCATTTCTCACTTTTGTATATCACAATATTAGTACCCAGTTGTTTTGTTCCAATTTTCACTCTGCTCTTTAGCAGGCGACGGTGCCATGCACGTTTTAGCCAATCGTCAGGACAATAGCCGTGGGGTGTATTTTTGTGGCATGTGTCGAGGTCTTCTCTCCTGCCTCTGTGTCTCTGTTTTGCACCTGCAGGTACACGAGGCTGTGCGGTGCTCCCTAGAACAGTGTGATGCCGACAGCGACTTAACGCTATTTGTCCAGCAGAAAAGAACCGGATCGGACAGACCAGGTAAGCGGAAAACGTCTGACGTACCATATTTGCAGATGCAGTATCTTGGTTCCAGGGTGTGCACAACACTTCAGCCATTACATTGTATATTGAGTGGTGAAAATGTTGATCAGAGCTGCGGGGGGGGGGGGGGGGGGGGGCACACATTACGCTGAAGCCTATGGTGAGTATTATTATTATTATACTCTGCTCTGGTAGACCACTACCCCATAAAACTAACTGGTTTGCTCTGTATGTGTGTAAAGGAGATCCCCCCCCCCCCCCCTCCAGGTGGCAAAACAATGTTATTGCACGGAATGGGTCTATAGACTGTCGAAGTGCTGACGACACGCTGCCTGAAAACTCTTAGTATCGCATGGTTACAAGGCCAAGTGGTGACAAACAAAAGTGTCGTCACCTGCACTTGTCGTGTTTCCAACAGTCACGGCATCACTTTGACTGGGGCTCGCGCTCGAGCAAGATCACGAGTTCAAATTATTTGTGTTACTTGTCTTCGAGAAGTTTCTCCTTTGCTGTCAAGCCATAGTGCAGTATATTCCGACTGAGTGTTCACCAGCACCTGAGAGATAGGAGTTTTGATGTTTGCTTGCCGCTGGACAGGGAAACGAGCACAGAATTGGTTGGTTTCAGAACCAAAAAAAAACAGCGATCGCTGCGATTCGAAATAACAGAGACACTCGCCATTTTTTCTTGACCAGCGACTGCATGTAAAGACAAACGGCACTACAGGCACAGCAATGGCTCAGCAACAAATCAGCTTGAGCTTCTCCTTCTCTACTAAATGAAAACTAAAAACCCAGCGACCAGTAACTTAGTTGACATAAATATTCTCGCTCGCGCTCCCCAGTCAATATGATGCTGTGTTCACTGTTCAGTGCATGCTGCTGCCACTGGAAACACGACAAGCCCACGTGACGCGACTTTTGTTTGTTACCACTTGGTCAAGTCACTACGCGTTGTCAAGAAGCAGTGAATTCAGACTTTGCGGCATATATGTAGTGACATTAGGGATATCTCATGGGTTCTTCTGTTGCAGAAAAATGGGGCAGCATTTTATGGCAAGTCGGGTTCACCATGTTAGGGTGTTTCCGCCTGTCCCAGACGACGGCTGCAATGGCCAACCGGTCAACAAAGAAGTTGAGGCCAAAGAGAAAGATTTATTTCATGCTTTTCATGCTTATAATGAAGGAGTGTGACGTAGGCGTCGGGTCGCTACAGCATCTCCAATTCTTGAAACGAATAGAAAGAAGGGCCGATAGGTTACGATTTACCGTAAAGTCGCGGATAAAAGCCGGGCTTATAAGCATATAAGCCGCTTTCTGCATCAGGCTTTAATGCAAACCAGGCTTGTATGCAAACCATGCTTATATGCACCACTGATTTTTTTGCCAGGCTTGTATGCACATCGGCACGCGTAGATCTACCACTGACTACCGGTATGGCGGCAGTTTTACTTTGCACCGTACAAAGCGCATGCACTCTTGACCTACCCGATCCGCGCTTGCATAGAAGCCAGGCTTCTACCCGCGACAGGCTTATACGCATTTGACCCGTTTCATTTTCAGGCTTCTATCCGCGATGTGCTTGTATGCAAACCCGGCTTTTATCCGCGACTTTACGGTATGACTACCAGTCCACCAATGTAACACGTCTTAAAACAAATCTTATTTTTTTTCTTGTTGTCCCCCCTAGTCCCTATTGAGTATGAAAACTTCTACGGCAACAACCCACCTCAGTCTATTCGTCCAAGCGCTGCTCGCGTGAACCAAGCGAATTCTCATCAGGCCCAAGGTGCGGCTGCTGGTGCACCTATGCAAGCGCGTACTCTACCACGTGTGCCCGGTCAGTCGGACGCATCGGTCAACCCGCACATGATGCGACCACCCGCTGACATACCGCAGCCGACGCTGATTGCTATCGATGACGGTGAGGAAGCACGTGTGTGTTCTCTGCTGCTCTCTTTCTCTATATCGCTATGTGTCTGTCTTGGTGTCTGGCTGTTTGTATGTCTATCTGTCTGTTTGTCTGTCCATCTATCTGTCTCTCTTTCCCACACAAATTTCGCTCATGACATCATTAATTAGCAGCTTAATGAATTGTTTGGTTGTGTCTTCTTTTCATTCATACGTACAATGCTAGCATGCTTACGCTGAATGCAATCGGAATCTTAATTAACTGAACTGTTTCCTGGGCTACACACAGAATCTGTTTGTTCATTATCCCAGCCCAGTGCCATACTGCAGTCGACTTGCTCATTTTACATTTTCAAAGTACAATTTGTGCATCGTGCACTAAGTCTGAGATCTATATTTTAAGTGCCTGCTGTGAGTCGGATTACTACTAGACACATTTTCTATGAATACTGAGGCGATCATTACTTTGACCCTGTAGAAATCGTTTTAAAATAAACTGCCAAACTAAAGACCTTCCATGCCTTATATGAGAGTTATTCCTGATATCGTTCTTGAGACAGAGAGAGAAGTAAGTTAGATCAATTGTTGCTTTTGTCAAATGTCTGTTCACTGTGTGTTCATGTTTTCACTATCAGGAGCCTACTCCTCAGTGCCGCAGGGAATGCAACAGCAACATCACATGCAGGCGGCGATGCAGCCCCAGCCCCAGCTCCAGGTCCAGCCCCAGCCCCAGCACCACCCGGGGCATCACAACGGTGGCATGCCGCCCGGTGCTCGTGCTGGTATGGGCCAGTGCCGGGCAAACTTCCCGTATGAAGCCCAGGGTCCGGAGGAGCTGACGTTTATGGAAGGGGAAATCATCACGATCGTTATGAAAGAGGACGGGAATTGGTGGAGAGGCGACGTCCGCGGGCGTCAGGGAATGTTCCCTTGCAACTATGTCACTGAATTCTAACTAGCGCAGTCAGGTTGTTTGACTAGCTCTGAAGTGCGTGTTTGGTTGAAGTAGAAGACATTGTTCTATGCTGGCTGCGTGCTGATCATAGCTCCGGTGAGCAGTCTCTGGTATTCAGCAGCCGGTGCCAGCGCCATTGCAAATGCATGTAACGGACTGTACAAACCATTGCCTGAATTCTGAATCCTACAAACGTGTCAGTGCCTATGTCCTTCCCCAGCCGTCCTCACTGTATAGGTTTAGGTGACAGCTCAAATTACCAAAAAGCATTATTGGATCCAAACACTATCCTAATTGCAGAATTTCTTATCAATTTTACAGTATTTATCTTGATTAAACCAATGCTGCTTGCGACCCCATATACGCATGTTGTTCGATTTGCTACTATGCATCATTATTTTTTTGATAACGGACTGAATGATTCGAATTTTGCTGGTGAAAATTCTTCAAGGAATCGTCCACTACAGTCTATTAAAAATTAAATCTTGACTTTTATAACAGGAATTAGCTCCCAAGCCTGATTATAATTCAACCGTATAATTATGGGTTTTGGAACGACAAATCAAGCATTGTGTGATGCGGAAAGTGGCCCGGCCGGCGGTTTTGGAAACCCTTGCTGAAAACTAAATACGTACTTATATTCTTCTCAAGCTTTTATTAAAACGAAAGTAGTTTTACTTCATAAACGCTGGAGAAATCTTCTGACTCCGAAGCTGCACCTAGACTCACGCTGGCCATCCGCATTGTTGTCCCTCATACGGACGGCCGATTAGTTGTTGGAGGTGACAGCGTTGTGAATCGCTACCTGCTCTCAGCATCTGTTTTTGCACCACTCCATGAGTGATTCTGACTCGTGCTGCTACCTGGCGACTCACGAGGTATTTATTGCTCTCAAAGCCGAGCATCTATGAGTAGTTTCGAATTCATAATAATAATAATTATATAGACCAGATGTTGTGACTGAAGTCCAGCTTCGAAATCTCCATAATTATTGTGGTTCAGTCTGGGCAAGCAGAGATAATCAGCAGCATCACCTTTTGTGAGTGAAGTGAGAACCAGCCATGAATCCTGAATAACCCAGGGCAGCCCGCATTCTTCCTTTTCCCAGCGAGTATTATTAATCCTTCAGGGGTCGAATTGCTTTCAGGACCTTTTTAATTTGATATGGCATTAAAAATAGCAAATATCTGAAGAACCATTCCCAATAATTACTATCACAACACCTATTATTTTTCAGAATGAGGAGGGAAATGAGAATCCAAATAGAAAAAAAAACCGGTGCTCATTCTGATAATGTGATATTGCTAACACTGGCTCTAAATGTAGGCAAAAGAATACGAAAGTGGCAATTTGATGTTGACTGGAAAATCCACGTATGCGGATGAACCCATTCATGAACTTTTCATAATCATGGATGTAGTTGAGCTGACTGCTCAATACGAAGTACTAGTACACTTCAGTCGTACTTGTTTTGTGAATTCTGTCCTTGCATGGGTGATGCAAACGCATCCAAATATGTTGCACTTTCATTGCCAAAAATAATGTATTGTCCCTGAAAGCCCCTCATGTTGCATCATCATCCTTTATATTTATATTTATTCCCGTAGCTATGCAGAAGACGTTACTTCAGTAACGTCTGGCGCTAGCCAGGGTCCACACAGCTTTAATTTGGTGTTTGTTTGTTTGTTTGTTTGTGTGTTTGTGTCACGCCTGGAGCTATCCCGTATCTTTCCCGTATCTGTCCCGTATCTGTGACTACAAAGGCTCTACAAGATTGTACATAACAGCTGTCCACAATATTTGCTGGCTCCCGTATCTGTCCCGTACCGTACCAATATTCGTCGTATTATGTATACGACTCCCTGATATAGAGGGAGATTTGGAAAGAAATAGGGAGACGAGGAGGAAATAAAATTAGAATAGACGCCGAATAGGTGATAGGATGCGTCAGCAAAACATACTTTGGAAGAGAAATCCCGTCGTCTCCAAAATAAGCGTGAACGGGCGATTCAGTGCCGGTCACAGGAAACGTCGGAAGAGAGAGTTCCCGTCGACTCCAGAACGCCCGTGATTGGCAGAGTCAGCGCCGGTCACAGGAAACGTCAGGACAGACATCCCGTCGAGTCCAGATCGCCCGTGATCGGCAGAGTCAGCGCCGGTCACAGGAAACGTCAGGACAGACATCTCGTCGACTCCAGATCGCACGTGATCGGCAGAGTCAGCGCCGGTCCAAGGAAACGTCAGGGCAGACATCCCGTCGAGTCCAGAACGCCCGTGATCGGCAGAGTCAGCGCCGGTCACAGGAAACGTCAGGGCAGACATCCCGTCGAGTCCAGAACGCCCGTGATCGGCAGAGTCAGCGCCGGTCACAGGAAACGTCAGGACAGACATCTCGTCGACTCCAGATCGCCCGTATGCAAAAAATACCGATCGATTTTTTATTGAAAACTCCAATCGGCCAAAGTTTAATGACGGCGAAAAGTTTCGTTTCTCATCGGCCAAAGTTTCTCATCGGCCAAAATGTGTTGATGTACAGTATAAGAAGATCAAAAAGAAAAGAAGGAGCAAACCAAAAGTGGATGAAATTAGAGAAAAATAACAATCCGAAATAAATTCTACAAATACTTTTGCCTAACTCATATTTAAACTGATCGAAACGTTTTTGCAATACAATGATGTGGCGAATCAACGGAAAAAAACATTTCTATTAGTTTAATAACATGTACGATGAGGTAGGCAAAAAAGCATAGCGTAGGGCCCTGAGCTTCCAAGCTCTCTCGTTACAACATCTCAAGTCTCGGTGGAAACACCGGCCAATGTTAGGAGAGTGGGTGATTGCCAACCACGGCGATAAATAAAAATTAGGGGAGGGTAAAAGAAAGAGTAGCAAAATGAAAAGCAACAACAACTCCGTAAAGAAAGATAATGTCAAATAAAAACAGTGAAAAACACAGAGGCGCAAAGGATATGTGGATAATGAGCTATTTATGTCGTAGTAAATAAGGGGCGGCACGGATCTTAAACAGGCGGAGTGAGGTCAGATCCTTAACTTCTCTGGGTAGAGTGAGCCAAACATAAAAAGCAATAAAGAGAGGGGAGCGCAAAAGACTGGATGAGTTACACTTAGGGAGTAAGAGCGAGTTTTTAGTTCTTAGAGAAGAGAGCCAATTAAAACACATGAAAGGAGGTGGGCACAACTCAAGCTTAAATTAATAGAATGGGCAAGAGAAGCCAGGTGTGCACTGCGTCCATGTGATAACGGGGTTGTGTGAGCGATTTTATAAAGGGCGGATGATGAGAGCATGCGGGGTTGACGGAGGAGACTTTTAAGGATTTCCTTGTGGTGTATTTAAAGCTTTGCAGCAGCGGAAGAGGATAATCCAACCCAAGACGTATCGGCATAATCAAATATTGGGCGAAGGTAGGCTAAATAAAAATGAAGCTTGCAAGAAATCGCTTTAAGTCAATGGCTCTTGCCTTTTTTGCTTACTAGATAAATAAGCCTTTTTTACAAATGCTGTTTGCACTGCTCTTTCCGTTATTCTTCCTATGCAAGTCGCTACTCTTGTTTTGAGTTGTTTTTCTTCTCTCTTTTTCTTTCCCTACTAGTTGCTGTTACACTCACTGATCCTTATGCACAGATATACAGCATTCCCTCATTAGTGGGACCATTGTTATTAGGCTAGGGCCTGTTTTGGACTTCCCACTCTAAATAAAGAATACAAACAAACAAAGAAAGAAAGTGGGAGGTAGGAGCAGTGGGGGGGGGGAGAGAATTCCTAAGCATTTGCTTGATTTTTCACAGATATATTCGATGTGGGGTACCCAAGAGAGTGCAGAGTCAATCACAATGCCAAGGTGTTTGTGAAAAGACACTATGTCAATTGGATTTGGAAAGTTGGCATGGATGAGGGTTGTGAACTCTGGCTGGGGCGGGAAGAGTATGATCTTTGTTTTTGATAGATTTGGGGACAATCTCCATGACGACATCCAGGAAAGAACTTCCTGAATGCCAGCACACAAGTTGTTTTTCAGGCCAGTGAGGGAAGCTGATGAGGTGAGAAGGGTCGTGTCGTCGGCAAACAGAGACGTTCCAGGGAAGACTGCAGGTAAGTCGTTTACGTAAATTAAAAAGAGTAGGGGACCAAGAATTGATCCTTGAGGAACGCCTATTACAATACTGGCTCTGCAGCCGAGGATGTGCCAAACACAGCTACGTACTGATAACACCCAGAGAGATAAGATTTCAGCCAGGAGAATGGTTGTTTACGCACCCTGAATGCATACTCGAGCTTTGCCAAAAATCCTCGATACCAGACGGTATCAAACGCCTTGGCCAAGTCAAAGAAGCAAATACCAGCAAGCGCTCTGTTATCCCTATGCTGGCACACCTGCTGCACGATGCGGGTCAGTTGAAGGGAGGTGGAGTCGCCTTTACGAAACCCAGATTGCGCGGGACTCAGAAACGGCGAAACATGTCTGTATAAGTGGTCATAAAAGATGCGTTCACATACTTTGGACATGCAGGGAAGAAGAGAGATAGGGCGGTAGTTTGCAGGTTCGTGGCGGGAACCTTTTTTGTATACAGGTATGACTTTCGCTGTTTTCCATGCGGAAGGGAATATGCCCGTGGTAAATGACATGTTGAAAGTATGGCACAAAGGGAATGCTATGGATGGTGCCAGGGCCTTGAGGCCCCACTTGGGGATGCCGTCGGGACCAGATGCCTTGCACCTCAGAAGCTTCTTCAGATGACGCCGGACAGTGGCAGTTGTGGTGATGACGGACGTGAAACAAGCTGAGGGCTCCGAGGGGGTGAGAATAGGGGGAATAGAGAGCAACGGGTCATCTGGCCGATTCACAGAGGCAAACTGGGCGTTTAATGCGGTAGCTTTGGCCAAAGGGTCAGCCGCCTGCTGAGTCCCTGTGGTGAGTGACGGAATTTCCCGTGACACGTTTCGAATTCTTGCTTGTCTCGTAAACTGGTGAAGCGATGGACGGTGTCTACCCTGCAAAGTAGTTTGCACTGAGCGGATATAAGCTCTGTACTTTGTCCGCGTCAGGGTTTTCACTATATGTCGCTGCTGTTGGTATGCTTGTTTGTTTTGTTGTGTTGGGTACTTCTTGAAAATGCTCTAGAGATCATAATTTCCACTTGATTGCTGTGCGGAGATGGGCACCAACCCAGGGTGGCTGACTGGGCCGTGGGCAGTGTTGAGAATACGGCTGCTGTCCGAATGGCCAGAGGTGCTTCTCAAGGGCACTGTTGAGAATGGAAGAAAAGTGCGAAAGCGCATCATTGACGTTGCTGGCACGCAGATGCCAGCTCCAGTCAATATCAGCGAGCTCTGCATTCACACTATCCCAGACGGAAGATGGCACGGATTTAAAGTCATATTCCGGCTTTGCAGGAACATTCCTGAAGTTGTATTGGGGTGCAGCAGCGGGGTGTCCGTTTGCAGTAGGTTCCTCACGATAAACAGCATCAGTAGGCAGTAGGAAGTGACTGAGGATATGTGCGTGGTCAGAGGCACCAAGAGGAGCAACAGATGTAACAGAGAGTAGTAGGTGAGGATGATCC